TGCATGTTGAATGGCCCTGCTCATCCCTGCAATGCAGTCTCTTAGCGTCGCAATGACCTGCCCTTGGTTCTTTTCCATCGTTTGACGAACCATGACGGCAGAGACATCAGTAGTGCCGTCCAGAACACCAGACTTGAGATAGTCGTCAGCTTCTGTCTTTGCCAACTTGTACTGAATGAGCGTTTGGTGCATGATGTCTTTGTGCCAGGATGCAAATGGCCGTGCGGAGGTATATGGCTCTTCGGTTGATAGCTGAAACGTAGCGAGGTTGGCCCAGGCTCGAACGCTAACTCTACATGCTTCGCGATGAGAGCTCTCGTGATTGACTAGGTCACGAATGTGATCAAGCTTTGGCCGACAAGCGGGTGGCGCAGCCCAGTATAGCGTTGAGAGTAGGTCATGGTGATTGCGTAGCGCTGCGAGATTTTCCTCGTCCAGGGGCTGATCCTTAGGGTAAGCACGCCCATGATTAGGTAAAGAGCGGAAGACAAAGCTACGAATCTTCTTCTCGGGATAGGCATTACTCATACCCTGGAGACCTAGAGCGAGACACTTCAGTGCGATGTGAAAGGAGTTCTCGTTCGGCTCTACGTTGAGTGACGGGGCTGTGGCAAGGTCGTTGAGAAAGGGTACCGACCCAGCACCTGCTTCACGTCGTAGACTTTTGAGTCCATTCTTGCCAAAGAAATCCAAAACGGCGTTGAGCATCAACTCCGGACGTCTCCAGTGCCAATGAGCAATTAACCGGTGGCATCGTGCAAGGTTGGCGCGGACGTATCCATTCAGCGACGTGCTGTGCTTTCTGTACGTACTCGGGTATAACTCGAATAGTCTGCGCAGTAGATCTCGGATGCAAGCCCAATTGTCGCTCTGGAAAGTCTCCCTCCGGCTTCTAAGCGGTATGCCGGTCGAATCGATCTCGTTGTAGGGGAGCAAGGTGAACATCGTGGCCCAGGTGGCCTCAAAGGCAGGCAAAGTAGTAGCGCTGCCCAACTTGGAACTAAGCTCTTGACTGGCCAGATCCCAGAAACCCCATGCTGGTATGTCCATCTTTTCCAAAACATGCATGCATATGACCGTGCTCTCAACAATCACGTCGGTATCTTGTATACCCTTCTCGCGTACGGAGTGTCGCTGGTTTTGTTCGAGAAAACTACCAAGACTGGGAATGCCGTGCCGCATCAAGTGAGCGACGATAGTCTTGGACAAGCTTTTGGCAAGACCGACAACTCCGACTTGGTTGCCTGGAGCAATGGTAGAATGTTGAGCGATGTAGTGGACTTGAATGCTGATGACAAGAAGGTATGCCATAGCACGGACCACACTATGAGTATGACTAGGATCTTGGCCGTTCACAGTACCTTGAGCAACCAGCAAGTTGTCAAAGATTGTTTGGCATAGCCGCAACAACTTGGCCACACAGTCACCTCGATCGATGGGATCCAAAAAGCTGAGATGGTGGGTGATATAGCTGATGAGTGAACGTGCCAATCGAGCTGAGTTCAGCGGACTTTCGTGGACTGATGATGACGTATCAGGGTCGGGTCCATGGACTTCGACAGGTTCTGATACCGCTTTCACAATCTCTTGTAGCCTAGAAAATGTCTCATCATTCCATGGGCCACATCTGACTGACAGAGCGCCATGGCTGATGGTGCAATGGCCGGCCAGTTCATCGAGGTCACGGCTACCGGGCTTGCTGACAAGTAGAGCTTGGCGAAACTCGTCAGCCCCGATGAACGTGGAAGAATGGAAGTACGTGTCGGTGGCTAGAGAGTATACATCGAACGTGATCGGGTAACGGGTGCCATAAGGACCCAACCCGTGGAGTACGGGCAAGCCGTCTTCCGTGTCGACCTCTTGTGGTTGAGGAGCGTCGGTGTTCTTGAGGATCTCGTCAACTGCTGGCTCGCTTGGCTGGCGGTATTCTCGCGCATCGACATCAATTCGTTGCGCTTGTACCTTTCGCTTCAAGCGTCTGCGAACCGGAGGTTGTTGTTTGCTTGGACCTTCAGTTTGGCCTTCTCCGACGTCTCTCGCGGAGGGAAGGGGCGGCAGTTCGGTATTGTCATCTGCGAGATACCTCGCCAGCTGTGGGTTTACGAAAGGCTGTTCGCTAGGCAGCTGAAGACCAAACTGCTGATCGACACGCAAGAGGCCCTTCTCGAATGCGATTTTCCTGTGGCCACGGCCAAAGTCGTTCTCATCGCCTTCAAGTTGCGCGGTTCTGAACGGAAGAGGCACCTGACGCCCAGCTCGTCCTGGATCCTTGCTTGATTGGACATGTTTCTTTCCTCGTTGCGTAGATTTCCTGACCTGGGTCGTAGAGCGCTGGAAGATATGGAGGCCTGCGGGGATGCTTTTACGTGGGCGTGTACGGGACACGTCCGTCCCGGCTTCAGATTGTACCTCAGTGCCCTTCGCAGATGCGGTGTCAGCTACTGGAACCTGCTCGGCATGCTGCTGGTTATCGATCCGATCAGCCAAAGGATGCCGGGATCTCCTTTTTTGCGATACGACATTTGCTCTCGGTTTCAGTGTTCCCCGTTGCCACTGTCGTAAAGTGGTATTGGCCTCTTCTGTGTCTTCAGTGTTATGCAGTCGTATCTGCTTGTCATGTGGACTTTGACGGGCTAAATCTGGTCTTTGAAGCGCTTGCCGTCTGGCGATCCTAAGGAACTGCGGCATCTTACTACTCGGTCGAGAAGGCGAAAGATCAATGTCAATGACACTCATGGCAGGTGGTGGGGTTCTGCGTGATTTCTTGGAGTGGCCATGCTTCCTGTTCGAGGATTGACCACCAGACGATCGTTTCCCAGAGCCAACGTTCTTTGCCAACCCGTCTGATAGTCTGACCTTCTTGGATTTCGCGAAAGCGTCTGTAAGTTTGGTCTGCTTTCTCCGCTTTGATCCAGTCCCACCGAGCGTAGGGAGTGGTAGACGGTCGTGTTCCATGTCGGACAGGTTGTCATCGGCATAACGATCGTCAAACATTGCAGCTAACGCAGAGGCGTCGGCCACAGAGTCTTGCACCCTTTGCAAAGGCCGGGGCTCAGAAGCCATGGGCCCGTCATCTGAATCATCAGATATGACAACAGGAGCTTGCGAAGGCGTGTTGGAAGCTGAACTTTGTCGAGGTCGGCCAGCAGGTCTCATGATTCTCTGAGCGACTCCACGAACAGGCACTGTTGGCTCGGGGGAAGCAGCTGCATTGATACGCGCGCGTTCCCGCTCGCGCTGTTGAGCCTTCCGTCGCTCTTGTGCCTGGCGATCGAATCGCAGCCAAGAAGCAGGCAAAACTCCCTTGATCTTTCGGCCCACATGACGCATGTCATCGTCACTCTTCTCTGCCTCACTAGCAGAGCCTGCAGCCGAAGATGAGCTGTCCGTTATCACTACCCTTGTTGGCCGACGCAGTTCTCCACCGGATCTTTGTATGCTGCGCGGGGCAGGCTCGGAGTCTGAGCCCTGGAGCATCTGAGGGTCTTCTTGCATGACAGACGACGTAGACGGCGTCGGCAAGTTTGGAGCAGGAGTTGATACACGCAGCATAGCTGGACGGCGAGCTGACGTGGTTCCATGTAATGGCGGACTACTTGAATACGGCGGCGAGTTCGGAGGTATGGACCAAATATCGCGTCGCATATCACTGTCTTCAAAAATGCTTGTCGGTGCCGCCGCTACTTGTGTGGATGAGAAATTAGGCTTCCTACGCTTGGCTGCATGAGGGTGACGGAGCTGTGTAGAAGGAGGACGTCTGGCGGGACCAGAAGTAGGCCGATGAACGAGATCATTTCTTGGACGTGGCAGCACAGGTGTAGAGACGGGTATCTCGACCTCGGGAGGGCTGCTTGTGGGGCTTTGATCGGGATTGAACTCCTGTTCTTGCGACTCATCGTTTGGCTGTCTGTGATGACCCTGAGGGGAACGTGAACGTTCTCTTCGCACCGGCTTGAGGCCTCTACTCTGTACTTCTCTCCGATACATCTCACCCTCCAACGCATATGGGTGCATTTGGATGGGCTTCCGTTGTCGAAACTCGCGTCTTGCCCTATCATCGGCGATTTGTCTTTGTAGAGCCGTTGCGGATGGTATGACAACTTGAACTGCCGTACGACGATGGGGCTCAGCGAAAGCAGGAGGGGGCGATTCCAGGTCCGAGGGCGGATCTGAGAGATCATCGTCGGAATCATCGGACAACGGCGCGATGCCGAACTCTCTGAGTATGCTTGAAGCATGTGTAGAGGTTTGAGGTTCCCCGGGGACAGTTGATTGTATCGGGGTAATCGAGGCATCGGAGAGGGGCACAACATGGCCGTCGTCGAGTTGAGGTATGGACACGGCAGAGCTTGGCTGGAGAATCGGGGATGCCAGGCGCTGTGACGACGGAGGTGGTACAGCCTGTCGGTTTCTAGGCGTAGGTGAGCCTAGCAGCGGATCAGGGCTCTCGGTGGGCTCTCTTCTTGTACTGCGCGTTGATTTGGGCGTGAAGGGAGATGGCGTAGGGCGTCTCGGCGAGCTGTGTTTGGTAGGCGTGGCGATGCCCGTCTCTTGCTTCTCTATCCCATTGATGCCTTCGTCGGCATACTTCTCTTCTCCCTCCTCTTGGTTGACTCCGTGCACCTCTTCCGTGGGTGCCTCATGCCGTCGGACCGGCGCGATGCCATCTTCGACGCGTTCGACGCGTCCACTCAGGCCAACACTCTGCCTGGAACTCTGACTCTCAAGCTGAGACTCGTCTTCTTCCTCATCCGAGTCCTGGACAAAACCTTTCTGTCGCCATTTGGACATTTGGACGCGCCTGCATGTCGTTCCGCGGTTGGATGCTGGCGGGGTGAGGTTTTGGGTGATGGCTGAAGGCATGGCGCGTCGTCCCGTGCTCCGCTTAGCGCGTGCTGGCGACGGCGGCGGGCTCAACTTTTTGCCCGCGGGAGTGCTTTCGTCATACACGCCAGTCTCATCCACACCTGGGCAGTCACTTCACGCAACGAACACACGAAATGGCGGGACGTATTCTTCCAGTCGCGTTGGCAACTATCGTTGGTGTGTCAATTGGTGTGGCTACGTTTGATGGAGAGTTCAAGAAACAGCGAATCGCACGGATGGAGGAGGAGTACAAACGGTACGCTGACTCCACAGGTACTTTCGTCGCTTTCACTAACATTCGTGTCAGGGAACTCGCCGCTGCAAATGCTTCCAGCACCCCGAATCCCATCCCCGTAGCATCGAGTGCTGTAGCACCCCCACCTTCCGCACAAGTACAGGCTCAGAAAGAGGAAGCTGTGGCCTCCGCTCCTGCCGACAACTCGTGGTCAAACGTGCTTGGGCTCTGGGCATGGAAGAAGGACAACAAGACGGAAGCCGCGCCTGCGACTGCAACGAGTAGTGTGGAGAATCCCAAAAGCAAGCCTTGAATGCTACCATAATGGATTTCATAGGTTCAGCCTACGCTCGAGATCGTTCCATCGTCCCCGCCGCAGCGGGTCCAGACGCTTCAGCTCGTCTAGCCACGACCTCATATCCTTCGTTGTAAACGACCCGGTCCCAGCATCTACCTCCAAATAAGCCTCTGCAAGCCCGAGCAGCGCTTCGTATATCCACTTGCAATCCGCCTCGTCCTCCAATATGTCCCTGATGTACTCCATCTCGTGCTCGTAGTACTTTTGCCGCTCGCCGTTGCTCAGGTCCTGGACGACAAGCGCATCCGGCGGACACGACGGTGACAATATGGAGAGGAGGTATTGGTGATAGAACCATATGGACTGGTCGAAGGGGTCGGTGTTTATGGCTTCGCAAATCAGGGCTAGTTCTGAGTCGAGAAATACACGGCGCGCCTCAGCGTCTGCGTTGCGCTCGCGGAGGATCTTGGGGATAAGCTGGCTACGGTTGTGCCAAGCGGAGAAGTTGGAGAGATTGGTCTTGATCATCTTGGTCGTGTACTCGAATTCAGATTCGGAGAGGCTCTTCTGTGCTGGTCCTGATGCGGGAACATCCTCGGATGTGGTCAGACGCTCAATCTGCGACACCACAAATCGTCTGTAGCCCCAAGCATGGAAGTTGCGACTGTCTGCGTGCAGCATCTTGTTTATGAGTTGTAATTCTCCTGACCAGAGCTTACGTGCTGCATCCGCGCCCATCAGCGCTTCGCCTTCGCGCAACAGCCAGTTTCTGTGATTCCATATCCAATAGCATTTGGGGAACTTTCGTAATAGCGCAAATGTGAGCTGCAGGTCGCCCTGCAAGAGTTCGTCTGGTGATTGTTCGGGGGTGTCTGCGGTCACCAGAGCCATCAAGACGCGTCTTCGGTGATTCCATATCGTGTAGTATTCAGGATTCTCGTTCAAGAGTTTCGTGACTAGGCCCAGAACTTCGATCGTATATTGCTTCTCGGCAACCTGAGAAGCGACTGTCAGCTGAATCCAATGAATGCTTCTCCTGGCTGCAATACCTTTGTGTTCACCAGATCCGCCAAATCTTTGTAGTTTGTGATCTGTCGCAGCTCCTTCTGCCGTGCTTCTTCTGAGCGGACGACCGGGCCAGACCCGCGCGATATACCGTGCTACATTTGTCAGCAAGGATCTTCCGAGCGATTGTAAAGTCAACTTACGCTTGCCATATGTTTCTGCGCTGTCTCGGAGGCTTCAGCGTTGCTTCCTCGAGTTGCAGCCTCGGCGGAATGTTGCCCCACTACACGCGTGGAGCCCCTGCCCCTCCGTCATCCCTCGCGGAAGGTTGCCGTCACCACTAGCCGCATCCGCCAACCCTATAGATGCTCCAAACATCCTAAGCAACCTTCAGCAGCCATTGCTATTACTAACCCAGCAGCAATAACACCGGGACATCAGGCAGCACCCGGTCTCCGGCCTCCTAGCTCCTCTCCTTCAGACAGCTTCACATGCGCTGAAGTTCACAGCTCAGTCCCCCAGTCCACTCATCTTGACACAAGCTGTTCCAACATGAGCGACACTGGTGACGAAGCATCTCTGTCTCGGTCCGGCTACCTCACACCGCCGCTGTCTCCTACGAAGACTGTCAGTACCGAGGGCTGGGCATCACCTCGGACGCCTCAGTCTCCGCGCAAAAGTCGCAGCTGCCTCTTCTTCAGGGATATCGACAGCGGCTTTACCAGTCATTGCTCAACTCCATTGTCTTCTCCTAGGAAGTCCAAGTCCAAATTTCTCTCTCGTCTTGAAGCGCTGTCAACTCCAGACCTGAGTCCGACTAATCACGTATCTGTGCCGGTACCTTGCGACCTCAACCCGCTTCGAGATGAATCCTCTTCCAGCAAGCGACGACGCAGCAATCGCAGTTCCTCGGACAGCATAGTTGAAAATGCAAGCCGCGCAGTATCTCCTTCACTCATTCCAACAGATACAGTCACTACGTTCGAAAGACCAAATCTACCGCACTTAGGCTGCGTTGACATCTCTGCTGACGACAGTTCTCCGCCCACCAAGCTTCGCCGTCTTCCCTTGCGCTATGCCAGCTCTCCCCTCAGATCCAGTCAATGGCAAGCACGAGGTGGCTTGCTAGCATCACCTCGTCAACCCCAAACAAGTACACCAGATCGTTTTATCGCTTGCCGCCGACCACCCACTATCACACGAGAAAGCTTCGAGCTCAACAGCCCTGCGGAGCGTCGGAACAAGGAACAGAACACGAATCGTGGCATACGTACAGGAACAGATGCTTTCAGTCGCCGACTGCGCAGAAGTGGCCGTATGAACGAAGAACTACGCGGCCTCAGGGAGGCACACTCTGTAGTTTCAGGCCGGGCAAATGCAAACAGAAGAAACGTCAACTTCAGACAAACCCCTCTACCTCTGGGTACTCGCCAGATCAGCGCTGGCGCTGTCTGGAATGTTGGTGGGCCTTCTGCTGTGAGTGACACAGTAGTAGCAGTCTCCACTGGTAGAGGTGGAATGCTTGGGAGTGGAACAAACGCGCCATTGTACAAATCGGCTTTCCTGAACCGAGCAGATCCCGATGCCGAACTTGAAGCCTACGAAAGACGTCTCGCACTGGCGCTCGACATTGACCCGACTGATCGCATCCTCCAACACTCATCTTCTCCAGTGTCGTCGAGCTCACCACATAGTGGTCCTGCATCGCAGGCAAAACATGTCTGGCGAGACGGAGCTTGGACTAGGGACGGAGTCGTTTCGAGTTTGTTCTCATTTGCTATGGACTCCAAATGTAGTTTCGCTGCTAATCTGAGATGAAAGGTCCCCGCCAGACACCACCAAAGCGAAGACCGGTGCCGATCTTGCCTTTTCGATATGTTCTTCTGATTACCGATACTTCTCAATACTGACTCCGCTCACAGTTCTCGATGCCCCTAACCTCCGCGACGACTACTACTGTACCCTACTCGCATATTCCTACACCTCCAAGTGTCTGGCTGTCGGCCTAGGAAATTTTGTTCATCTCTGGTCTGAGAGAAACGGTGTCAACACGCCAGACTCGCTGAACGCTGTGCCGCCAAACGGTCCCGCAGATGTTCAGCACGTCACATCCTTAGACTTTTCCTCTACAGCAGGCGGTCAAGCGATCCTTGCTGTGGGACGAGCCGATGGCCGCATCTTGCTATGGAGCCCACTGGATGCTGAGCCACGATTCGATGCAACTCAACCCAAGCCTGTATCGTGTGTATCCTGGAGACCGACTGTTGTGCAACGCCCTTCTCTCCGAGATAGAGCAATGACTGTATCGACTGAGGAGTTGCTCATCGGGGACGAAGTCGGTCACATCTACTTTTACAGTGTAGAATGGCCGTCAGAGACACACAGTGAACTCTTCGGTTGGACTGGCGCCATGACCCTGCTGGCTCGACTTTCAATCCACAGCCAACAGATCTGTGGTCTAGCATGGTCGTCCGACGGTGAGCTTTTCGCGAGTGGGGGGAACGACAACAACTGCAATCTTTTCGAAACGAAGAAGGTGCTCCGATCGAACCCCGCAAGCGAAAACACATCAGCAATCCTAGACGTCCGCGAAGGTCCCCGTGGCGAATCCATCTACACCGTAACCAACCGTAGCAACAACGCCGTCCTACATCTCGCGCAATCAGCCGCAAAACACACATGGACGCTCAACGCCGCCGTAAAAGCCATGGCCTTTTGCCCCTGGCAACGCGGACTCCTAGCCGTCGGGGGCGGCTCAAACGACCGCTGCATCCACTTCTACCACACCCGCTCCGGCACCTGTCTTGCGACCATCGACTGCGCAGCTCAAATTACCAGTCTCATCTGGTCCCAGACGCGCCGCGAGATCGCAGCAACTTTCGGCTTCGCGCAACCCGAACACCCCTACCGTGTCGCCGTCTTCGCCTGGCCCAGCTGCGAACAAGTCGTTGCCGTCCCGTGGTACGACGAGAATCGCGCGTTGTGCGCAGTCGCTTACCCAGGCGGTCCAACGAGCGGTCCGCAAACAGATGACGATCGTGATGGTGGGAGGGCGAGGGGTGAAGACGGGGTGTGGTCGCGGAGAGGTGTTGAGGAAGGTTGCATTGTTGTCGCCGCGAGTGATATGGCGATTCGGTTCCACGAGATATGGAGTGATCGACGGGGCAGTATGGGCGCGGGGGGCTTGCTGGGTGGTGGCTCGATGGGCTTGCTAGGTGGAAGTGACATCCTTGAGGGTCCTTATGCTGGCGGTATTGAAAGGCAGGGCACGATTATCAGGTAGGTAAGGTAAGGTAAGGTAAGTCTTCAGGGAGTTGATAGGGATATAGGTTGAGATGAGCAGACTTATTCCTAGTCTGGGAATCAAAAGTTTTGGTTCTGAATTACAATCGAGGTCTGCTCCAGTCTGTTACTATTCACCAGTCTTTGCAAATGGCACAAGCTGCAACCTTTACTCTTCTTTTCATTTCGTCATCTCGAATTCCACGACCTCGGCTTACGGTATAGAGCTTTCATCCGCTTTGCCTTCATTTTCGCCGTCTTAACGGGGTAAACGCTAATCTTCGGTCCTACATCTCTAGGAGTCCTCTTCCCCGGCTCTCGCTCAGCCAAAGCATCAAAGTCCGGGTCCTTACTAAACATCGAAGTGTCACCCTTTTCGCGGTTGCTCAGGATTTCGTCCAAGGCTTCTCTCCTTATCCTTCTCTCTTTCTCCTCCTCTTCTTCTTGGCTCCTCTCCCATCCCTCTATGTCATCTCTCATCATCTCTCTCTCCCTCTTCTCTATCCTCTCCTTCTTTTCTTGGGCGTTCCTCTTCCATATCTCCATGTCTTCTCTAAACGCCCTTTTCTGCTCCTCGTCTTGCTTTTTCCTCATCCATTCCTCCATGTCTTCTTTCACTGATCTCTCCGTCTTCTGCTGCTCACCGCCATCGCCTCTCTCTTCCTCTTCTTGGCTCCTCATCCATTCCTCCATGTCATCTCTCACCGATCTCTTCGCATTATGTTGTTCACCGCCATCACCTTGGAGCGTCATCTCCCTTTCCACTCTCTTCCCCATATGTTCATCCATATCATTGGTATCCGTCCTCTCCGTCCTCCCCCAACTCTCCACCCTCTTTCTTGCCTGCTCCGTAACGCGGGCGGAGATTGCCCTTTCCACATGCTCCCATCTCAACTTCCCGCCCGCTGTAACTTTCTGTGCACGAGTTCTACTTTTCTGAACCATAGATTTCTTCGCCTTCTCGCTAGCCTTCTCGGCTGAACGCCTTTGGATCAGGGAGTTGATTTGTATGTCACGGTGTGCCCTGAGGACAGCTTCGAGAAGGTTGGAGTTCTGTTCCGTGGTGTCCATGATCTTTTCATCGTGCAGCAGTCCGGTGAGTTCGGAGTGTAGGCCTTGGATGGCGAGTGTGAGAGCATCTTCTTCTTTGGGTATTTCCCGTAGGTCGCGTCGCTTCCTGTGCGGGTCGGGGAGGGGTCTGTAAACTAGGATCGGGACCTCGGGCTCCTCTTTCTGCTCGTTTTCTTCAATTTGCTCTAGAGTCGGTTGTTGGCTTATGATTTGGTCCATGTCCGATTCTTGTTGCTTTGCACGTGCGACGTCTTCTTCGAAGAGGTGGGATGAATCTTTACCGCGGTTCTCCAGAACGAAAGCTAACCCGAGAGAGTGTCGGCCGTTACTACCATAGGTGGTATTGGTTTCAGTAGTGTCTTCCCTCAGTTCCGTCTCCCCAAATTTGTCGGCCCAGAATACATTTCCTTCGAGCAGCCTCTTCGCGGTTCTGTATACCGTACCACTGGCGGGGATGAGTTTGTTCCTTGCATCCATCGTGGCGTTGACCTGCAGTCGACCACTTGCGTGACCTATGGTGATGGCACCCTCCATTAAAGGCTCCGGAGCAAGCATCTGTTCGACAACTGTTCCGGGAATGCGCGCCGCGACGGCTGTCGTCAGTGCAGCAGTCAAAGGAATGGCTCGATGAGGCTGTGTGTCTGAGAGAAAACGTACGACAATGTCCATCTGTGATGCCTTGAGAGTCTTCCCTGACAGGACGGGGTGCGCAGATGACTGTGATACGATGCCGATCTTGGGAACGGTACGAGGGACCTCATCCTCTGTAGGTGCAATACCCATGACAACGGCAGCGGCTTTGCGAATGCTTTCGAGCAAAGCAAGCTTTTCCTGAAGATTGTTGAAGTCGTCGGGTAGGATGGTACCATCCACTCCGACATCGTCTGCTCGGACGAAGATCGCTGGGTTCGCGCCGTCTATGCACGATACTCTGTAGCCCCCAATGTTGTCCACTCTCCTGCCAGTAGGTAGCACTCTGCCAGTTTTGCTGCCGTATGGACGTTTGAAATCCAATCTGATCTTTGAGCCTTTTCCGGTAACGCCGTCAATGCTGTAGTCACCCGCGACGGCAGCTTGTCCTCCAATGACTTCGAAGGTAGAGTCGAGCAGCTTTCCAGTGTTGGTGTTCCGTATCTTGACTGTGACCTCTCCGTCTCCCTGGGCGTATACCCTTGATGGGAGAAGACCGGCGTTATAAGCATAAGGGCCAATTGCACTGCTCATGTTTCCACAGTTGCCTGCGACGTCAACTTCATCGTCTTCAATGCCCAAGCCAACGAATGTGTAATCAATGTCTAGCTTTGGCTCATCCCCGGCCAATCCCGCCTCTTCCAGAGCCTCTGCAGCCTGTATAGCCTGCGCACTTTTACGAACTGCATCAATACCACCAAAGCCTGTTCGAAATCGAGTGGCTCTCTCGGGCAAAGCCACTCTCCTCCCGTAGGGTTCTACGAGACATATCTTACTCAGACTCGATATGCCCGCACCCATGCCGTCAAGTTGCCGCCCATAGGGATCACCACTCCCCATGATCTGGCGGAATATGGTCGGCCATCTTGCGCGCTCTTTAGGCAAGGCTTGCGGCTGTAGGATTACGCCTCGTGATGTACCCCCGCGGTAATAGGCCGCCTCAATGGGTTTCTGGACTGTCGCAGATGGCGGGACGACGTCATGTCGCGAGACAAACGAGCGTATACGCAAGGAGAAAACTGGCGAAGGACGCATCACGCATCATGGCATTGACTTGTCGAGATGCATGTCAAAGGCGTATGCGATGGCCGAAGGCAAATTGTTCGGAAAGGGTCCGCCTCGGAACGGAAAGAATTGGACCCTGATGGAAGCACAGGCATTCGTCACTCACAGCTCCGAATTTTTCTCGAACGTCTTCATCATCATCGCATCCACCTGAGCTACACTATCGCCTTCGCAGAAACATCGCATCCTCTGCTTCATTCCACATTTCATACCACACAATGTTGCAAAGAACCATCCTCCGCGCCTCAAGACAGCAGGCTGCCCGCTCAATACGGCCTTTTGCGCCACTACGTCAACAATCACCCATCACACGAGCAGTCGCGACGCCCGCTATCCGGTGGTACTCAGATGCTGCACCAGCAAAGGAGGGCGAGGCTGCCGAGAAGAAGGAGGATGCGCCCGCAGAGAACAATGAGGCAACACAATTGAAGGAACAGCTAGAGAAGAAGGACAAGGAAATTGTCGACTTGAAGGTAGGCTTCGATGCTACCTAAATCATGACACCAGCAGACTGACATGCCTCCGCAGGACAAGTACCTCCGCTCAGTCGCCGACTTCCGCAACCTCCAAGAGCGCACCCAGCGCGAAATCAAGGCCGCTAAAGACTTCGCCATCCAGCGCTTCGCCCGCGACCTCGTAGAGTCCGTCGACAACCTCGACCGCGCCCTTGGCACCGTGCCAGAAGAGAAGCTCAAGGGGGATAACACCGACCTCATTGCCCTGCACGACGGCATCAAGATGACCGACACCATCCTCATCAACACGCTGAAGAAGCACGGTCTGGAGCGATTCGACCCCAGCGAGGCGGCCGAGAAGTTCGACCCCAACATCCACGAGGCGGTCTTCCAAGCGCCGCAGCCGGACAAGGAGGACGGAACTTGCTTCCACACACAGCAGAAGGGCTTCAAGCTCAACGGCCGGACACTGCGACCGGCCAAGGTTGGCGTTGTAAAGAACGCTTAAACCCGACATCATTAGAAGCAATATGAGCTTCATTCTACGCGAACCAGGACCTCTGTCGCTGTCGCCACGATCTTCTTCGCATGTGTATGACTACTTCGGTTCGGCTCCATTGTAAGGTTGGCTGCTTTGATCTGGCACGGTACATTGGGGGCATGGCGTTTTCGTGTCAATTCACGAGGTACATTTGTGTACACATATTCCCCTCTCAGACGCATCTTGGAAAAGTTGAAGCAAGCATGATGACGAAATGGCTTTGCGTATATTGTAATATTAGATATGACGAACCATGAGCAAAAGAAGGCAGCCTAAAGGGCTAGCAGAGATATCAATGCCATTCGCATCAACTCATTCTCGATAGCGATTCGCAAAATGTCCTTGTTTTCGTGATAGATGCCAATATGTGAAGAAGGACTGCGTATCTTTTGAGCAGTCTTGCAGTCTGTTGACGAGCACACCTTTTAGAACGCCAGGCCCATGCAATGTTGTACACCCAAACACGCCACTCTCTTCGTCTACCAATTGGACTGCCCGTAAGGCGTTGCTCCATATGGCGTAGTTCCTCCTTGTGCTGCACCGCCCCATGAGCTCGCTCCTCCGTATCCGCCTCCTCCGACGGGGGTATAGCCACCCGCATCACCGTATCCAGCACCGTTCAGTGTTGGGCTCTGCGCGCCGCCAAAGTCCTCCGGGCCTCCAACGCCGCCAGACAATTCTTTGATGATCTCGGCGAGTTTGCGTTGTAGGATGGCGATGCCTTGTGTAACGATTTCATCTGGTTCGAGACCGCCGACTGTTTCGACGTCGTAGAAGAAGCGTGATGGGGCAGCGTCGAAGTTGAAGGGTTCGTCGGGGTTGGGAGGTCCGCCGTCGAGGTTTATGCGGGCTTCGTCTTTGGGCCTGGATATCTGTTAGAGACGTGCTATTACACAATGTTCGGATGGTTTAGACAAAACATACCACTCCTTGTCGGCGTCCTCCTCGTGCCAGTAGTCCAAGTGATGTAGCTTATTCGCCGGATCGTACTCGAAGCCGATGGCTGCACTAGGCGCCCATTTCGCGTGTTCCTTTGCAATGCCCTTCTTCGCAATGCACTTCATGTTGATTGCCTGGCCTCTCCTCAACTTGACAATGCAACTACCCGTCTCTTCTGAATCAGTGATGACCGGCTTCCCCAACTCTTCGTTTGGTGCCCGAGATTCAATCACCAGATCCCGCGCGTACACCTTCATAATCTCGCTTCCTGTGCATTTCGCGTTGAGGGTGAGAACGACGGCGCAATTGTCGCAGTAGCCTTCGCAGTCGCAGTCGCGCGAGTACAGCAGCTCTTCTACGCCTTTGGAGCACAAAGGAATGAGGCCGAGACGGTGGCAGACGAACTCGTCGGCGAGGACGGATGTGTTGTCGAACACTTCTACGACGTCGATGGCTAGGGTGGGAATCTCGGCGAGCATCACACGGCGGAGCGAGTTTGCGGTTTCGAGATTGAAGTTCTGGACGATGAAGTTGGCGCGCTGGCTGTCGGCCTACGCATAGCTGGGTTAGCTCGACGTGTCCTGGGGCAGACGGAGCGGGCGGTGTACCTGGAGGAAGCGCACGTTGATTGCGCCGCCATCTGGGTCGTAGTCCATCGCGTCGTCGTTTCAGGGAGGAGAGGGCTGTGTGCTTGCGAGGCTTGTGATGGAGCCGAGGTACTAGGGCGACTGGATTCGGAGGCGGAGAGAGACGTGTTGGCGTGTGTGGGGTGTGCTGGCTAGGGTCGTCGTCCTGATGGAGATTCTTTGAGGTGAGTCTGGGAGCGAAGCAGCCTAGCGTCAAGGTGTGGCGCATGCATCTACGCCACACCTAGAACCAGCCACACCATTGACAGTGGCATCGTCATACGGGTCAGCAGCTGGCGAGATTGCGCCGAGTGTAGAATTGCATGCAGGGTCACATAGACCAAGATTGATGGTTGGATGACGTCTGAGTTCTATGCTTAAGAGTTACTAGGGAAACCGTAGATTTCGCAAAGGCGGAGTCGTCATAGCATCACCTGCAGCTACCGTCTCGTGCGTTGATTGTACACACCAAACAGGAGACATGTACAACGGTTGTGCGCATCAAGACTTGTGGATGCGCCCGGCGTACGCGGAGCTCGAGACAGTCACGAGACAAGCATGGCCTTTGATCAGCCTTGCAGTTGAACACATGAGACATTTTCCATGGGCCAAGCCTGACTTGAGCATCACAACAAAATCCAAACATGAAGGGTACTATTGGCCGACAAAGAACCTCAAGCGCAAAGCGCCTATGGCTGTGTTGCGAAATGAGCCGACCGAGTTGAACAGTTGTCCTTGCCGTATCGCATGCCTATGGCAGACGGACAATAAACGAGTCTGCCGCCGAGTGATGACCTATTACATGCCCAGTCGGACGAGATAAGGCCTTGATGGTATTGCATGCATGCTGTGTAGTCCTAACATGGATAAGCCGGACACTAACAGTGGACTCGGTGCTTGAATAGTCAGTAAAGGATGTTCTGTGGAACCAGCGAGACACTGGTAGATGTTTCTTTCGTGGACATGAGGCTGAGTGGCAGGCGACTATGCATCAGCGAGGCTGAGGCCCTCTCCTTTCTCTGCGTCTCGTGCTATCGTCAGTTGAATCCATTATTGACGCGTCCGCCGAGGTCCGGAGACCTCCAGCAGCACAGTGCGTTGGGGAGCAATAGGGCGGGGCAGTGCAATGGTGCCCAGGAAATGGCGCGAAAGAAGCAGAGACATGGGACATGGACGCGGGAAATGGCATGGCCGGAGTCTGGCCTTGGCGGATTGAGGCGGAGCAACCGTCGCTGCTTGCGTGCGGGCGCTGCAACGACCAACCGCTGAAGGCGAACTTTGATATAAGACACACGCTGTCGGTCTCTTGCCCTCCAACTCACCACAGCAACTCAACCAACAGACCACAGTATATCTTTGCGCAACATAAATGATCGCAAACATGCAGACTACTCTACCTCCATCACCAATGCGCTCCCGCGCGTCATCGGGGAGCAAGTCGCCACTTTCTCTCGACCTTTCAGACCTCCCACCGCTCGTCGAGCCATCACCTCCTTCAAACACTCTCATCATAACCGTGAGTATTCCTCACCTTAAAACTAAGAGCATAAACTAACAATGTTTAGAATCTTCTCGCACCCGAGATCTTCTCACTATCCACCCTCACCGAGATCCGCGAAACCGTAGACAAATATGCGAAAGTACACACATGGGCGCCGCTCAAGTCTTTCCGTCGCATCGTAGTATCCTTCTTCGACGTCGACTCTGCGATCCAGGTCCGACAAGCCCTTGATGGCGAACAGCTCATGGGCTACCGCATCCGCGTATACTTCGGCGTAAACACACCCATGAACCCCTCAGACCAGCACCTCGCCCTCCCAAAGTCCGACCGACTATTCTTCATCTCGCCGCCGCCCTCTCCACCCATGGGTTGGGAAATGAAGGAAGAGGATGCGCCGAACAAGATTGTACACCCGGAAGACCTTGCGGCAGCGCTGGCCCGGTTACATGCAAACCACGATGCGACTTCGCCTACGACCGACCACGGCGGCCCATCCATCACAAGAAGGCGAACTGGCAGCACCACTGTTGTCTACCACCCCGAAGACCACGGTGACTCGCCGAACCTTCCAGCCATATCCGTCGAAGACACAACAGAGACACCCGAGCCGTTGACACCCATCGATGCGATGGAGGGTGTCGAGGGCCCGATCGCATCGCAGAAGGCGCAGGGCATAGCCGTGAGCACATCAAGGCCGCCGGTCGAGCTCATGCACTAGACGGTCGTGCAGATATCACCTCGTTTCTTTTCTTTTGTTTTCAAAAAGCATCATCTGCTCAAATGACATCGCGAGTGCATGGTTCCGGCGTTGGTGGTTTACCTCTTGGGATGACTCGATTTCGAGTTAGGAATGATAGCATGTGTATTAAGGACAGTGGGGATACCTTTGGTAGGACTCTGGTTGCAATGAGTCTAATGGGTATGGCATAGTATGATATCCCGTTCGAATAGCGCAAATACGTTAAAGCACAACTTTACTTCGCCTGTTCCAGTCTGTTTCGTGAACATGAGTATGCAGTGTCAATCTGGATTGCGAAGCCAGAGCCCACCCAGCATTGCGACGCCAGAATACTGGCAATGCAATGCAAGTGTTGATCAAGTACTCCATGTCTCTGCCTCTTCGCTATGAACTGCTCGTGTGCCCGCGCAGAGCTCAGCATAAGACATTGTACTGCAAGTTCCAACCTCGCATAACGAGAGTTCCTGATTGTAAAAGCACGAGCATGTGAAAACGTCCACATCCGGTGGGGCGCATCATGTTGTTGGTCGCAGTTGCCCGCGGGCTGTACCTGAAAGTCGCGCTAGCACGTGATGATCTCCATTCCGATTAGCGCGCACTACGAAGCGAAGGCCCATTTCGATAATTCTAATTTCGCAGGCCACGACCCCGACAACACCACGACAATCTACTAACGTTGCAGCTTCCACACGCCGTCGAGACGCCGCAGTCAAGATGAAGCTCAACATCTCATACCCCAACAATGGCACCCAGAAGCTGATCGAGGTCGACGATGAGCGCAAGCTCCGCGTCTTCATGGAGCGCCGCATGGGTCAGGAAGTCCCCGCCGACAGCATCGGCGACGAGTTCAAGGGATACATCGTCAAGATCACCGGCGGTAACGACAAGCAAGGTTTCCCGATGAAGCAGGGTGTCATGCACCCAACCCGTGTCCGCCTCCTGCTCTCCGACGGCCACTCCTGCTACCGCCCTCGCCGCACTGGTGAGCGCAAGAGGAAGTCCGTCCGTGGATGCATCGTCGGCATGGACCTCTCCGTCCTTGCCCTCAGCATCGTCAAGAAGGGCGACGAGGACATTCCCGGCCTGACCGACATTGTCCACCCCAAGCGCCTCGGTCCCAAGCGCGCCACCAAGATCCGCCGCTTCTTCGGTCTCAGCAAGGAAGATGATGTGAGTTCTCTCATAGCTTCTTCGCCAATCCTGCTTCGCATAGCGGATTGAGTCTCGCTCATCCTGCTACAAGCAGCGCATTGAGTCTGAGCAACAAGAAGTGAGCTAGAAAGTTTGAAGGTTTGAGTACTAATCGTTGCGTGTCTAGGTCCGCAAGTTCGTCATTCGCCGTGAAGTCGTCCCCAAGAAGGAGGGCGCAAAGCCCTACACCAAGGCCCCCAAGATCCAGCGTCTTGTTACTCCTCAGCGTCTCCAGCACAAGCGCCACAGGCTCGCACTCAAGCGCCGTCGCGCGGAGGCTTCCAAGGATGCTGCCGTACGTTCACACCATTCACCACAAGACGCACAGAGGCTAATGATACTGCAGAACGAGTACGCTCAGATCCTTTCCAAGCGCATCAACGACGCCAAGGCCGCACACGAGGAGGCCCGCAAGAGGAGGGCGTCTTCCATGAAGCACTAGAGCGTTATCATGAGTTCATGATTGGGTCGTGGAATGATTACATTGGCGTCGGCACGAAAATAACGGTGTGGGCTCCTGTATCTGAATGAAAACTTCGGGCATTCTAGGGAATAGGCGCTTCTCATACCACTGACTGCTTAAGGCAGTTGTCTCAATAAACAATTGCATCACTTCACGACCGCTCCACAACCTTCGTATCCGACATGTCTCCTGCTGGTACACTTTCATACACTGCGCATCTGTTGACTGATACACTCTCGTCGACCTACCTGACCTTGCTGATCATGGCAGCTCCATTCTCAACGTTGCCTCATCGCACGTACCTCTTGCAACCCTTCCAGCTCATGGTTTGCCAAGCCCTTGCTCATACATCCTCGATATACGAAGCGCTTGACTATGGAGAAGTTTATCCATCCAAGACGTTCTAGTTCTGAACAAACAATGAGTCCTAATTGTGCTAGCAATCCCGACCCAACGCATATATTCAGACTCCTACCAACACTCAGCCCTTCGCCAAGATAACGTTCTTGAATTCATCCAAGATGATCATGGCCTCCCAGTCTATACATCACGGCGTCGAGCATAGACGCGCTTTCATCCACATCCTCGGTCCGCGACACTCAGGCCTTGAAGAGATATGCGACGGCCTGCTTGATTCAGACAAAATCGAGCATCTGACACGCACGTACATCAGGGATACCTGCCAGCATTTCCAAACATCAAACAGCAAAGAAAGTTTTGATGACATCTCTTCTGGCAGTCCGGTGTACAGTAAGTACCTAGACGACGAAAGGCTTCGAATTCCTGACCAAGGACTTGTCGTCCTGGTAAAGAGAGACCTAATTAGCGCTATGGAGAGATGGGCGACTAAACATGGGGAGCTCAAGACGGATGATCAGAGGAATAACACTGGTGAGAAACAAACCATTGGATCTTTTCTCAAAAGCGTTACATCGAAGATACACAGCGTCGTGAAGAAGCTGCTGCAGTCAGAACAAGCTCGGATACAAAAGGCGAGAGGAAAAGCTTGGGTGACATATCTTGAAGAGCGGGGGACGGCTGAGAGGACTTTTGAGGAGATGAGGAGGCCGCTGGATACGCTTTCGTTGGAAGTTGATGGAAGTGATCCCATCGCGGCTGTTGAGAAGATCTGTGAAAAATGGAAGTCGATGCAGAATGAGTATGGGGACGCTTAATTGTACTTTGGCCGGGAAGTGATGGTGGATAGAGAATGAGGTACTGAAGCAGATGGACTTCATCATCGTAATCTGCTTACTGGTAATAGCAGTCTTACTATGTCTACAACGCTGTGTTGTTTCCTGAGAAGCAGGCAGAGTGTTGCATATTCTGCACCGGATGGACTCTTCAAATCCCCCGATGTCTATGCTACACAGTTCTGGTTGATCTAGGTGAATACAAATCCCGTAGTGGCTAGCCGATAGATGGAGCTGACGTACGGTCAAGACGGGTTTGGCGTGTCTAGATTGCTAGAAGGTATAACAGCGTATCATCAAGCATTGGTACTGAGATGTGTACTTTTTGATATTTTCTAAGGTATATGCACATCGGTCGTATGTATATACAAGCCGACCGATGCATCCAAGCCTAGTCTATAATGTCGCGCCGCGCAATGCTGTCAGCGCCAAACGCCCGCCCATGTGGTATCATTCGCCTCATCGCATACCCAATATTGCACAAAGCACATGCGCGTCTTTCCAATTCCCCTCTTTTCTATTCCAGCTTCTTCAATTGCCTGTAGACCTTCTTATGTTGCTCCAAAAACAAGAACGTGAGCACAGTGTGCGGGCCGACGCGAATGAAGCTCGGTACCCAGCCCTTGAACATCCAGCGGAATCCTTCTGCTCTCATAGTATCCGTGACAGTCTTCACTAGTCCTACACTCTCACTGGAGCTCATGACTTTGGTTTTGATGACATCTACCGGCGAGCATATCGTTGTAGCTACAAATCCAGCCAAAAATGATGCTGAGAAATGTGTTGCGAGGTTGTCTTGCAGCGGCGTGTAGTTCAGCAACACGCGCTTGAATCCGTCGTATGTTGCCAACTGTCCAACTGTCATGAGCACAGCTCTTGACGAGTTGGGCCAAACGCCTTTCCATAGACTTGCTACTCCTTCTTCCCGCGACATTCGTATTATTCCATCAATCGCGTTCTTGTATCCTCTCCGCTTTTCTTTCGGTAGTGCGGCATCGTGCTGCATCCGTACGTTCAAGATGTCTCCTGGGTTACCGGCGAATCCTCCGAGGAATCCTGATATGGAAGCCATGCCTACGAGCGTGAGGAACGAGGGTTTCGTGTCGGCGGTCGTCATGCGGTCTTTGAGGGCTTCGTAGACACCGAAGCGTGTCATGCTGTATGTCCCTTGGCGGAGCTGGGCTGCGGAAATCTATCGTCGCATTAGACGGGTCCATTGGGATTGGATAGATAACACGACTTACGCCCTTGTACAGTCCCAATGCGCCATCAGTCTTTATAACATGCTTGAACATTTGCATCATGTTCAACTTTACGCCAGATATCGTTTGTGTTTGTAACCGGACCTGAATTTATGAGTATACACAAATTGGCGCACGCGACAGTCGAGAAAGCTACCTTGACTACTCAAACTATCAGCCACTGTCCAATGCTGCGCACAAAGCGGTACAAAGCTTACCAAGATCCAAAGGATGTGTAAAGAAAGTCGCAAAACAACTTGCGCTTCCACCAAACCAGAACGGATAACGTATAGGCGTCTTCTTGATAGGCTTCACATCTTCGCTCTTCCGTAGCTCAGGCACGCTCACGGGCTTCTTGACGTCCGCCATGTTGAAGGTGAAAGGCCGCGCAGCAACAGCATGTGTAGCTGGCAGGGACAGGGAAGCTGTAGCCTTAAAAGTAAGGAAGCCTGCAAAGCTTCGGTGGTAGTTGAGGGACCGAGAATTCGGCACGCGCGGACGTCATCGGCAAAACGTGCTGCTTCCGGATTTAAGCTCGGAGCTGGTGGGCTGGGCTTGGCGGCGCGCGTGATTTTGAGGTCGCGAAGGTAACGTCGAATCTCATCATCAAAGATGCGAATACCACTTTCTTCTACGGCGGTATGCCGTCAATTAGGTCGAAATGCCCTATTGCGAGTACCACGGAGCGCAGTGTCACCCTGGTCGTGGCGGCAAGCGGTGAGATATAATTCTTCTGGTGAGTTTGCTGTCATGTGACGCGGCTCACGGCTTCCCATATCGATGCGTTTGTACTACTCCGGCGTTGAGCGAGACTCGGAAGATGCAGATGAGGGCTGTTTCTGCATTCTAATGTCGTGTTTTTGGTGTTCAGCTGCAACTTCGTGTACTGCGGAAGATGAAGAAGTTCCAGAGTATGGTATCTAAGTTCTCATAGGAGCATTCCCGAAAGAAGTCAAAATAGAGGGACGAACGTATCAAACCGATGAATGGATGAACACACCCTCAACTATCCTCGACGCTATACCAAGACGCCTTCATCTGCAACCAGATCACCCTCTGACCATTACACAAAAACTTATCGAATCACGCTTTCCAGGTTACAAGACCCATAATGATCTTTTCCCTATCGTCACCACCGGCCAAAATTTCGATTCTCTCGGCTTTCCATTAGATCACATAGGTCGAAGCAGGACGGACACGTACTACATAAACAAGGAGACCGTACTACGGACACACACTTCAGCTCACCAAGCCGACACCTTCCGCAACAATGAAAGCGAGGGCTACCTCATCAGTGCTGACGTATACCGACGAGATGCCATCGACAGAAGCCATTATCCTGTTTTCCATCAGATGGAGGGAGCAAGAACTTGGGATCGTCAAATGGCAGAGAAAGAGGGCAAGACACTTGCGCAGGTCATATGGGACGATGTGGAGAAGATTCCCAAGCACAATGTTGCAGTCGAAGACCCAAACCCTCCATTTCATGCCGAGCGTAACCCACTTCAAACAGGACACTCAGCAGAAGAAGCAGAAGCCATGGCTGCACACCTGAAACGAAGTCTTGAGGATATGGTGGTCACGATCTTTAATGCTGCAAAGGGTGCTGCAGACACTGCCACGTCAGACGAGCCACTAAAGGTACGCTGGGTGGAGGCCTACTTCCCCTTCACATCACCCTCGTGGGAACTGGAAGTCTTCTGGCAAGGCGACTGGCTCGAAGTGCTCGGCTGCGGCATCGTGTCACAGCCGATCCTGAACAATGCCTCGGTTCCCAATCGTGTAGGGTGGGCTTTTGGCATAGGTCTCGAACGCATAGCCATGTTGCTCTACTCCATCCCGGACATACGTCTGTTTTGGTCAAAGGACTCTCGCTTCTTATCGCAGTTCAGCGAGCAGAAAGCCATTCGTCGATTCGAGCCTTTTAGCAAACACCCTGCATGTTTCAAGGACGTGAGTTTCTGGTTGAAGAGTAGCTCGAATGCCGCTGGTGGCGCCGCTGCTATTCATCCGCCTGCAGGAGGCGCGACTAACAGTTCATCCACGACATCCCCCACCCCATCCTCTGCTCCTACAACTCCAGCTGGCACGCCAATCCCACCAGCAGCCCCGGCGCCATCATCCTCCAGCTTCCACGAGAACGATGTGATGGAAATCGCGCGAGAGGTCTGCGGTGATCTTGTTGAGGATGTGCGCCTAACGGATGAATTCGTGCATCCAAAGACTGGGCGCAAGAGCATGTGCTACCGCCTCAACTACCGCAGCTTGGAACGCACACTCACGAACAAGGAGACTAATGAGCTGCATGAGCGGATGAAAGGCATGCTTGTGGAGAGGCTGGGCGTTGAACTAAGGTAGCGTTAGCTGGCCATGTGGTAAGATAGGACGGCGAACTCGAACGGATTTCGCCATGTCCTATCCAGAAAAGGAGGAAAGGAGTATAGTCTGGTGGCGGTGGTGGCGGTAAAACGGTACGGGAGTCAAGCCGCCACGCAAAAAGAACACATAGGAGAAGTCATGAAAATAGTATAGCCACGTAAAGAGACAGGATTCTGTGATCTCGATCGGAATGTGGGGAAAACCGTCAGAGTGACATTGAGGGTGTGATAAAGAACGGAACGGAGCGAACGGACGATTGCCGAATGTAGGTGTGGGTGTTTGTGTGTGTAAGAGAGGAAACTAATGTCGGCTATCGATTCCTTCAATCCTAACGGCGATGTCCACTGCATGATGTGGTTTCTGGGTGGCCAGACTGCCTGAGCATGCAGGACATCACACCCTCGAAACTCTAAACACGACGATATCTGCCGTACGGATTGCCTGACATGCAAAGTGGAGGAGTGGGCGGCGCTTGCATGCTTGCGTATCTCCTGAACGCCTCTTCAGAGCCGGCAACTCACGATGTACAATATGCTGTAACGATAGTCGTAGTTCTAAATCAAACGCAACTCTACCATACCACAGTCTCTATTATTACACACTCAAATCACTGGTACTCGGTACTTCTAGGTCCCAGATTCGGCACCTCCCTGCTGCACCTCCGTTTCTTGTCGACGGCAAGCCTCATGCACGGCACCCCGCAAAAATTCCGATTGAGGAAGGAGTAAAAAACAAGTTACACAAGGTACCGTGCAGAAAAATCCTGTTTCCACACGCGAGCAGTCTGAACGTCTTTGAGAACAGCACTAACGCCTGATGTTGACAATGCAGCAAGAAAAAAGTTGGCATCACGTCAGCAAAATGCGCGTCTCAGGTTCTGTAATTGTTGGTCGCCCTATATGCGGCTGTGTTATAGTTTGCAGTTGGTGGTGGCCAAGTTCACCGGCGTGTCCTGCAGGTCGCAAGCTGGTGGGGCAAATGACCCTGTTTTCCCTCAAACCAACACCAAATTTCGACGCGGGTATGCGCCGTTCAAACTTACACGCTCGAGACGCATGCGATAAGACGTGACTTGCAGTTCGCAGCGGCATCCCAAGTAGGCAAACCCAAAATCGTCACGGACCCTGCGCCTTGCTTGCTTACCTGGGAACGCGCTTGTTGTTAGGTTGGCTAAACTAGCCCATAGATCAAAGCACGACATTGCCTTTGGCGTCTAAGTTTGGCGCAGGTTTGGTGTAGGTTTAGCCTGGCTGGCGAGCGGCGGACCTCCTAAACTCCGACGAGGCTAGAAGAGACGTCGAAGGAGGCTTCTAGCTGCCGTTCTTCCAAGGGCTACCTGGAGGCACTTCCGTCGCAAAGAAAGATGGGTGTTGCGAATGTTGGCTAAAGCTTTGGAAGCTTTTTCGGGGTTTTGCGCAGGGGCTGATGTGGCGTGGGCGTGCGATTCTGCTGTTACTTTTGCGCCTCAGGCTTCCATGCGTCTTCGAGAAGCTCTCGTTTTGGAAGCCTTGGATGGGTGAGCTCTGTTTGCTTGCTTTGTGGAACGCAAGCCTTCTGATGCTTTCTTTCTTTACATACTGTTGTCCCCTCCTACACGTCTAATTCGTCGTATTGATGTCAAATTCGAGGAATGTTGAAGTCTGTGTTGAGGCGGCTGGTTGGTGTTGTCGATTTCAATGTTCTGTGCCACATGTATACATCGCCGCTATATCATAGCAGGGACATCCTATGCCATCGTCGTACGAATTAATAGCCGGTACGAACAAGCAACTGCCGACCTCGCAGGTAGCGAAGGATCGCATCTGCTGTGCGATGTAGCATTTCTCAACGGCTGTTGCAGCATTTTGACGATCATCTCATATGCATGGCAACTCGTCCCCGGGTACTCGTCCCGTAACAATCCCCCACAAACATCAAAATAGCCACACGCTATGGGTCGAGCACGATGGGAAGAAGTTGTTCTTAGGGAAGATCGAGATCGAATTCTGATCGACGATTGTTGAGTGACGGCGAGTGGGTGATTTTTGCTTTTCGGTGTCAGGAGTTTGATGTCTGGGCAACGGCCAGCTGCAAGGATGTAAACTCTCGTAACGTTTGAGTATCAAAGTAAGAGCTGGGGAATTGTTCTCGCCGTACACGAAAGCTGTACTACCTTGATGCCTGCTGTGCTACCATATGACAGTACAATATGTTGCAACAAAGATAACGTTAATGAAGCGGATGAGGTTTGAAACGAGGTGACGGTGAGTCGTATTTAGCCAGCTTGTGTGTGATAGAGGTCCCATTTGAGCCGCATCAATTCGGCACGTTGTGGCGGTGGTTAAGTGTATGATTCGAGTGGGGCCATGAGAGCATTGAAGTCATTTCCTTATCGAAGCGGCATTGGAACACGGACGTGTTGTGCTTGACGTTGCGCCATATCCGCAATGCTCAATAGAGGCATCGGAGATGATGTTGGTAGTGATACGCAATAGCAGTGCGCTACTAAGAACAGATCATAACGGTTCGTGGTATGCTCTGAATCTGCACCTAATAGCTTAGTACGGTACATAACCCGGCGGGATTGATCATCATATAACTGCGAAAACGATACCTGCGTTCGGCGCAAGATAACAAGGCTATGGCGAGCAGTTCCCTTGAATTGTTTGAACGGAAGAAGGCCCTGTGCGTTTCCCTTCTTGGTGATCAAGCGAAGTGTGCCGACTCCCGCGCCTTGGATATGGAGTGGCGCTTTTTTTCTCTCTCGAACCGATCGGAACCGGCACATAGCAATCAGAACGAACGCACGCATTTTCGACGTGATGTCATGATATATGGGGAACGGCCTATTTCTCACATGTGCAGCGGGTTGATTCCTTCAACGCCCGATCGACTGGTGCTGTAGCAGCTGTACGCGAGATGATCTACTCGTAGGTAACGGACCATTATTGACTGCACGATGAGCACCGTTCGCTGCCTGCGAACCAACCGAACGTGATGATATGCAGCCTGCGCTCAGAACAGTCAGTCAAGAGCCAGGGTGCGATGGAGCCAAGACGTCCCCTTTCGGGGAAGATGGGCCAGGCGAAAGTATGAACAGCAAGACGAACCGCACACCAAAGTGCTTTTGATAAGGAACAGGCAAGACGGTAACCGCATGTGGTGCAAATCGGACGATATTGACTCTGCGAAAAAAGTTGGTGGCTCTCGTGCAGCAATCCCTTGCTGAGACTGGCCCGTTCACTGCGTCGCTTGGCGTGAAGTCGGAAAGCACTTGCATGCAGTCGGTGCGCGAAGGCCGAAATTCAGTAGCGCAACGTACCTAGCTATAGTTATATGCATATTGACGTGACGAGGCATCACCTTTGGAGAGAGCACCGTCACTATCATTCCTATAGGCAGATAGGGAAGAAGATGAGCGCACATGTCTTTCGCATAATGTTTCGTGGGGGTCGACGCTCGGCTGTGGTGTGTGATAACTAGCCACCGCACGGATATCAGAGTGAAACGGCGTAGTAGGCTCGGGAGAAAGAGGCAGATGCGGCACTGCACGTGTTGTGTTGAAGCTTTTGTGGTCCGCAGCGGACGGGAATCGCAGACAAAGTGCAAAGCGGGTCTTTCAGATTCGCTTTCGTGCTCGCATCAATGTCGGCGTGAAAGGACGCAAGTCACGGTGCTGCTCGCGTAGGCGTATGAAGAAGGAAGAACTAGGCATGGGCACTAGTATGGCGCAAAGTTAAAAGATGGAGAGACAGTGTCAGGGACCCACGGCAGCTTGGACCAGGAATCTACCTGATCCCACGCAACCGTCGAGCGGAACCGGCAAGTGACAAACCACAGACCGAATTAGTACCAGGCGTACGCTAGACGTGACTCTCTTCCATGAATCCTTCACCGAACGATGTTTTTGGACGTTCTCCGTGGGCAATTAAGCGACGGATTGCGGCCCCCGCCTATAGCTGCTGTGTGGGAGATTGGGACTGAGATGACAGTACAAGTGATGTGAGGGGTCACTGACTGGAGATCATCGTCGTCGTCTCGAGTGTTGGCTAAGAGGGTGCCCAAACATGGGCTTCGGTGGAATATGCCGTCTCGCTCACGGTATTTGGCCGTCGTGGAGTGGAGCGGAAGCCCTTGCCAGGGCAGTGTTGAAGGGTCGCACCAACGCGTGCAATAAGCTTTGAGCGTCATCGTCTAGAAAAGCTCGTAGTTTTGACGAGTCGAGCGGGTGCAGCTGTGCCGTGATGACCCTGTTTCCGGCCCAGGGATGCCACGAGGCCGCTTCCGCAGCCAATGGCGGCCCCCTGCTAGTTCTAAACGTTCGCTTGCATCTGCCTTGTTCCTGAGGCGCTCCTGCCTCCCTCGCCCCGAACTCACTGACACCAACGTCTTCGCCGCGTGCCGGCCAGAGGCGCGCCGCTGCACAACCTCATCTGAACTGCGACCGAGTCAAATGCACTACGCCAGCACGGGGCACATGTTTTCTTCTCAACAACATGCACATCACTGGTGCTCCGTACTTCGCCACCAGGGCCATTATTCAGTCGCCAGCGACCGTTTAGCTGCGTCGCCCTGTTCGCAGCTGGTGGGCCGGCTTTCCTACCGCTTTGGTGCAGACCACCGGCATTGATAAACCGCCTGGCATATGAGCAGCCGGTCCGCAAGGCGACGATAGATGATGATAGTCGATTAACTGCATCAGGTCCGTTTTCGCTGGCGCTAGACATGTTCACCTGATGCTTCAGTCGCGCGCTGCTACTCGCCTCCACACTATGCTGCAGATCAACATGTTGCAGCCAAAAGGCACCGTCCGTCGCAACCATGCGCTGTGCTCGATGCTAAGGGTGGTGCCGCGCTGTCCATCGTGCAGATCACCCTAGGCATTAATTGCGTGATGATATAGCCTACCCCACGAATCGCCAGACATGCGAGGTTAGGCTCGCGTTTCACCCAACTCCCGCCAATCCCACCTGGGACGCGCCGCCGACAGCCTAGACACTTTTGCTGTTATTGGTACTTCGCGTCTTGCAGGGGCCCTCCTCGTTGCTGCAGGTATCAACACTAGTGCTTGTGAGCCACACTTAACCCGCTGCAGTGTCTTTTTTACCACATACATGCAGGGAAAGCCTTCATGTTTGACGTGCCCGCCTCCCGAGTCTCACCAACCTTGTACTTCAGACAGTGAGCCACGGCAACCTCAAACGCCCGTCATGGCACACATTGCCAATTGCATGCGCTCGGATTCCGAAAAGTCTCCCGTTTATATAACTCTAGAAACGTCCTCCAGGATGGTAAGCCACTCTGCTCCACTCCACATTGCAATGAACTACCATCTGCCCCGACGTTCACGCTCACTCAGAGACATTCAGGCTACTCGAGACTCCCAATCGCCCACCATCTCTTCTCACTCCAAGAGCCCCTCGCTGGCAACCCTCCAACAGCCAAGCACCTCCAGATACCAACTTTGGCCATCTGCCAAAAGCCCTGTCGGACTACCAAAGCACCCAGAATCTTCTGACAAGCTGGCTGCCCTTTCAGCTGGTCGTTCTGCCACTTCTCTCAGTGACACTGCCGTATTGCCTGAGAGCAGTCTACCCTTCTGGCAGCGTACTGGATCCTTGTCAAGAAGGAGGAAAGTCAGTGTACCTGAGCTTGGAAACACCATGACTACCGTTCAGGAGATGTCTATCGACTCTCGTAAGTGTGAACTGACATCTCTTCATCCGAGCCATGGCTGATAATCTGTCCAGCAACTATCCCAGGGAGACCACCTCTTCGCAAGCTTTCTTACGAGGCTTTCGGTCACGAGCGATCGTGCAGTGCTCCCGGCTCTAACTGGAGGACGGGACCCTTCGGCGATGCAATGATGGCCTGTGTAACTGGTCCTTCCCCTGGCCCATCTCAACACACCAACGGCCCTATGTCCTCTGATCTGCCCAATGCTTCTGGAAGACCATTGTCACCAATCCTCAGTCCCGGTGCCACACCTAGACCTTATCTCAAGGTTCAGACCGCCAACATCGACGAAGAATCCGACCTGCGCCCACAAGTACCGCCTAAATCGCCAGCCGTTGAACGCAAAACGTCTCCAGCCCCACTCATCCTGAACTCTAAAGCAAGCCGGCCACAGCTGACTACGCCTGCATCAATGAACTCAGGCGGTAACACACCACTGAGTGCGATGGACCTCCGACGATCGCCCAATGGCAGCATTCCTCTACCTACCCCACCCTCAACCTTTACCAATCCCTTCTATGCATCATCACCCGCCTCGAACCGAGGCTCACCGCGTACTGAGAGGAGAGATCCTATTTCCTCGCAAAGTTCTACCCATAACCGAAACATGTCTGAATCGTCCATCATGGAAAGAGGTCGACCTAAGCGACGCAACAGCAAGAGAGATCGCAGCCGCACCATGTCAGAGGCCAACGGCTCTGAGCCTACTCCTGACGCATGGAAATTGCCTGAAGGCATGCGTGTGCCAGAAGCTGCCAGACGTATGAGCGACGCCGACAAGAAGCTACTCCACAAGCAGGCTTATGACCAGGCTGGCAACTTCGAGGTGCTGAACAAACGTGACGTAGCATCACTATCAAGGGTAAGCTATCCACGCCACCTTCCACATAACCAATGCTGACGTCGCTATAGGAACTCAGAGCACTCGACGAGCGCTGCGACTACCTTCGAAAGACCTACAAATCACTACGTGCCGGCCGCCAAAAGCTGCATGGCCGTATGATTGCTTATCTGAGGCGCGGAGAAACTGTCATCTTCTCACGCGAATCACTTCTCAAACAGGAAGAGGCACTGGCGGAACTGGACATCTCGATCGACGAGTTCATTCTGAAACTAGAGCAAGCCGAAAATCGGCGCTTGCGACTTCGGCAAAAGCTACTCGAGCACGTCGCGGCTGCTATTGTGCTCAACCCTAGCGCGCGGGATCAGGTAGCCGAAACTACTCCACCTCGAAGCCCTGTAAAGATCGACAGCCCATCTCGACATGAACGAAAAGAGACCGAGTCTATCAAGATATACGCCGACGGACACGTTTTAAATCTCTTCTCCGACATTGAGAAGGCCATCGGCAAGATGTGCGAGCAATCTTGCTGAGCGCCTCACGACATTCATTTCTTCTATCTTTCCATCATCGATACCCTCTTCCTTGCCTTGACGGCGTACCATTAATTTCGACCCCCGGACTTCTCACGACTTCCTTATCTGTACCATAACGGCCCAAGCATACTTTGCTCTTACCATTACTCGTTCTTTCATCCCAGGGTGGCCCCTTGACATTTGTCTATACAAAAGAACGCTCATACCATCGACATTCTGCTTTATTGTATACGTTGGCATATATACCCGAGCTTTTGCCCATCCTTTCTGTTCTTCGAAGTAGTCTTTTGCGCATCAATACTTTCTCTTACATCACGATGTCAGGAATGGCGATGACCATGTTGGGGGCGTTTCATGTTTGAGCTTTGACAAGGGCAGGACGCTATTGTGGCGCACCATGTATCTAGGTACTACCTGCAGGGGTAGATGAATCAAGAATGACATTTTAAAGCCAAGTGTTTCGGTCTCTTCCCAATAATCCTGGTGGCGCTGATCGTGCTCAGGGACCATGTCGAGACATCGTCATTTTTCCAACATCTTGTTCGGGCCTTGCGTGAGATTTCGCACTGACGGGCCTGGTCCGTACGGCGTCCAGTTTTCGTCTTCTAGGCCCGGGCTGTGACGTTTGCTGTCACGACGATAGTAGGTAATCTGCCTGCGAGCGCAGTGGAGCAAGTGCAGCTTCGGAGGAGTGCGCATTCTAGAGCTCGAATTGTTTCACTGAGCTACGTACCGCACGTGGCTAGACTGGCGTCCTTGCTATATGATGCCCATTATAGGCTGTTTCGACGACGACATCGCAGCGTCTTGAGAGGTGTCCGGTGAAACGGGCATACGGTGGGGCTGGGAACATGAGAGGGGACTGCCCAGAGTATTGTTTCTATAGGTTGCCGGGGTGTCTATAGTGTTACGCGGGGATGCACAGTTGCGCACCCGCGCAGCTGTCACATCAATTTCCTTGCTCTCACCCTTGTTGAGCTGGGGACGAGTTTTGCAGAGTTTTCAACGTACATTGCGTCGATATCCATTGACCAGTGCAAAGATGTAGGACGCGCCCAGAACACACAGCGGGCCAGATACGGATCTCGGCCGCCGTCAAGTTTCAGAAGCCGATTAGAAGACTGCAAGGCCTATCCCAACACACGGCACGCATCGTGCATCGACTTCCCGCCATCATCGAGGCTTAAGGCATATTTGCCGTTTATCAGAAATGAAACTTCTTCAGCAGGTGCAAAGGTCGGCATATTGGTCGAGATAGAGCAAGTAGTCGGGTGAGAGGGTCCGCTTCCACCTGCCGCGACCGGACGCTCCAGTCTCTTTGGGTCGGCGCCACCTTTCTCCGCATGGTCCGTGCCCAGCGAAAAACCTCACTTCTTTGGGCGACGACGTGACTACCTGTAGAGAGCCATAATTTCCACCGTCACACTCACCACCATGGCTACCAACAGCATCAAGTTATTGACCGGCAACAGCTATCCCGAACTCGCTGCTCTCGTTGCCGACCGGTACGTTCAAGTTCTTCACTCTTGACGCTCTTTCGAGGCTGCGACTTGGCATGCAGCTGCCCAACGACTGCAACATATTTACCCCCACCATCATGCAATAGCAATGAGTATCGCACAAACCGCAAAGTCACTCGGCTTTTGTTTGATGCGTTCTTCTTTTTTTCTATTGAAACCGACACGGAAACAGAGCCTCGGGGTGTTAAGCACGTGCCCCAACTGCATCGCTAATTGAGTCACAGACTCGGAATCGAGCTTACCAAGATTCTGGTGCTCCAGTACTCGAACCAGGAGACTTCCGTGACTATTGGAGAGTCCGTTCGAGACGAAGATGGTATGCTTCATCATATCTATACGGGATCGAGTATCGCTGCGTCTAGTGCTCGGCTTACCACAACGTAGTCTTCATCCTGCAATCCACACCACCAGGCGACATCAATGATGCTCTCATGGAGCTGCTGATTATGATCAATGCATGCAAGACCGCTTCCGCGCGCCGCATCACCGCTGTGATTCCAAACTTCCCGTATGCCCGCCAGGACAAGAAGGACAAGTCCCGTGCGCCAATCACCGCAAAACTCATGGCAAACATGCTTCAAACCGCCGGTTGTAACCACGTCATCACAATGGATCTTCACGCCAGTCAGATTCAGGGGTTCTTCAATGTCCCCGTCGATAACCTCTATGCTGAACCCAGCACGCTCAGGTGGATTCGCGAAAACCTGGACGTCAAGGACTGTGTCATCGTCAGTCCAGATGCGGGGGGTGCCAAGAGGTAAGACCACACGTCCTATCTGCTAACAACTCCCCCAAGTCTTGGTGCCGAGTACGGCAGTGAGCAGTGGTACAACGGCGCGAACTCAAGACCCGAAGTCTTACTCTGTGCCATACTGAACTCTCGGACTGTCATCCGTAGAACGACTTCTAGAATGTGCTAGTACTAACGCATTTTCAGGGCAACCTCGATAGCGGATGGCTTGAACCTTGGCTTTGCCCTCATCCACAAGGAGCGCACGCGCCCCAACGAGGTTTCGCGTATGGTGCTAGTCGGAGACGTACGAGGAAAGACGGCTATCCTGGTCGATGACATGGCCGACACATGCGGTACACTTGTCAAAGCAGCGGACGTTCTCATCTCCGAGGGTGCAAAGGATGCGCTCGCGATCGTCACCCACGGCATACTGAGTGGCAATGCCATTGAAGCTCTAAACGGCAGCAAGCTCAAGAAGATCGTCGTCACCAACACCGTACCCCATGAAGACAAGAAGGAGCTGTGCGACCGCATCGAGACAATCGATATTAGTCCGACCGTAAGTAACTCCCTATACTTTGGAAAGGTGCCGCTCTAACGGCACACAGCTTGCCGAGGCCTGCAGGCGTACCCACAACGGCGAGAGTGTTAGTTTCCTCTTCAAGCACGCGCCCGTCGACTAAGGGAGGCATCATCATTCGGTCAACGGCAGTCATCTAGCATATGAATTAACGGCGTCACTGGCGGTATAGGCGTTAGGATCAGCATCAGGACTTGGACTATTATTCAGGCGACAGACATCATGAGTCTATGAAGATCTGCAGATCGCCTTCAGATCCCGCATCTATTGGCGAAGCCACTGCTGCAGCATGAGGCGTCGCACTAAGTGCATTAATGAAATTGCACGTTTCTATAACAGCTTCTTTCCGCTAAACTCGTGGCAGGTGCTTCTAAACTAAATCCGCTGTCAGCCGGGTTGACATGCATGCGCAAGAGGACGCCATGGTGAGGCACTTGTCTAGTCCGTCACGTTGCGCGATACGAACTAGCGAGTTAGCTTCTTTTAGCATGGAGCAGATCGAACTTTATATCATCGTCAAACTACACTCTCCCCACGCACAAATAAGGTTTCAAGACCTGCGAGATCTCGCTGATCTTTACTGCGCATGCTCAAGGTGCGGGATCAATCACCGCTAGACATCGCTTACAGGCATGTACTGTACTATCACGATGCATGTGCGTCGTACTGGCTTGCGCGGTGACAGGCTTAACATGCAGCCACAACCAGCACCTTTAGACTGACATCAAACGACGATCGACAAACACGCGGAGTATTGTACTCTCCCGGTTAGTGTTACTTCGACAAGTTCGTACACCTCAGCCACCTCCAGATACGCTCCACATATCGCAGCCAGCATACCCCAAGGAGGATTGTGTGACCAAATGCGGTAGACTCCGAGAGCTCCACCTGCCACTACTCAGCGACCTCCTCCACCCTCAGGATTCAATCGTTGTTATCAGTAATCACCTCAGATCCTGCCGAGTCAAGTCGCCTTTATTCCCCAATTAATTCCTACGGCTGCCGAATCTCCTCGGAGGTTTCAAACCATGATGAAGATCACGATGCTCACTTGACCCTCCGATCTTCCGCTCCGATCCGAGGGTGAAAGTGGTCCAAACGCGTTACTATGTTTAACCTGTGGGTTGAGCGGAGGTGGAATCTGGAGATATCCGTGAAATGCGGATTTTAACTTTGGGGTTTGACTATGATCGGACTTGTGGTTTTTGCATCCACCGATGCCGAAGTTCTGCCACCGCGTCGGCATGGCTAGTGCGTGGCTGAAGAACATGTTCAAACAAGCGTTCGCTGCTAAGCGGCTGCCCGTCCAGAACGGTTCCACGCGATGCAACGGAACTCATGGCCGCTTGTGTCTCGCCGCTCGTACGAGCGCGCCATTCGAGTGGCCGGGCTGCGCATTGCACTAGGAATGTGAGAGTTGTGATTTGGCTGTCTCAATGCGAATGCGAAATCGTATCAATTTGGCTGAGTTCGATGAGCACGTCAATTTTTAACAAGATGCCGCTGTTTTACTACGGTGGAAGATGCGGTCAAGTAGCTTAAACGTTCTCGCGATGCTTGGCAGCCATCGCGCAGGACGGTTCACCCCACAGCAGCACTGACCATCAGATGACCATCATCCCCATACCTTGAGACCCTTTATCAACGCTATCGCACGGCTGAAAGCGAATGCGAGGTCTTTCAATCAGCGTAGGTACGAACTACAGTTCTCTCTCAACCCTTTCGAATACGGTTTCAATAGCCTACACGGCTACCGAGCTGCCTCAAGAATTCACGCAGTCTACCCCTTACGACAAGGATATACCGCGTAGACACATGCGCGAGAGCACGCAAGTAGATCCCAAGGGTCCTCCGACATGCAAGCAAACACAAGGATCCAGCATCACGCACCATCAGCACCCCAGCTACCCATAAACTCAAAGAGCCGGAAGAAGCCAAACGAACGCACGAGACAATCCCACACTCCCCAAAGACCCCCCATGCTGCCTCGCATCGAAGACACAAGTTTCCCAGGTTCCAGATTCCCCAAAAACCCGCGTTGGAAAATTAAAGTTGTCCACACCCCAGAACGGACCGAGGGTGAGAACTTTATATGGCGCAATCGCGTGCGTCGTAACGCAACACATCCCTTCCCTTATCACAAGCTTTCCGCTTTCCACCTCACCGGATTGAGACTGCAGCCAGCCTCGTTACGGGTGCCATTGTGTCTCGAAAAGTAGCGGAACCCCCGCGCCAGGGTCCAGGTGCTAACTTTCCTTCGACGGTCCGAAATGGTGAACTTTGATGTATTATCATACGATTTTTGGATTCTGGACCTTGACCTGAGGGGATAGTCTGGGTCTTCCATTGTGAGTGAAGGGCCGATTCGGGGGGCGAATATTGTGGGCGGAAGGGGCAAGGTGAGACGGTCTTTTGGGGTGGCGTGAGGTGGGGGTGGACCGGTGGAGGTGGCTTGTAGATGTATGAAGATGTTTCGGTGTAAAGGGTCATGTGGAGAAAGGTGGTATCGTGGAAGTAAGGATTTGTACAGATGTAGCATGTAGAAGGGTGATGCCTGTGCCTAATGCCTTATCACTGGGATGCGGGCTGTGGATGTGGAAGAGTTACTCTCGGGGTATATGGTGTGAAAGACCAAAAGCTTCCCTTCTCGATAGTTTATGTGAGCTATTATGAGAGTTGTGGCAGAAGGGCTGGACAAAAGGCCAGTGTTGTTCAGATGTGATGGTTTGGAACAAACGCGCTTGCTTGAGAGATGTTGTGATGCTACACTTTGTACCACGTGGGCTTTTGAGTTGAACATCTGCATGTCACCTCTTGCATAGATACTGATTGCGAGCGATGCGATTGATCTCGCCTACGTAAACTGCGTCGAACAGAGTATACGTCTACACAATACGCTTGATAATCTACTTTCACAACTTGTTCATCGTGTACCCACGTTTTTCAGAATCAACAATAATCTTAGATACATCTACAGTTTCAAAGTATATACATATTCAAACCCTCTTCACAACAACTCTTCTTCCTCACCAACCCAGCTCACCAGAAAGAGCCTTGGTCAGAATGTCCGCCATCTCCGCATGTGTCGCAGCATTAGGATGGTAATCACAAGCAACGTCTGAGCCCTGCGATGGCATATCCACCAGACTGATCTTCGTGCTGTTCTTAAGTTGCGCAATCGCAGCGTTCAATGCATTCGTCTGCGTAGTCTTCTGTGCCTGACCTGCAGGATACCCGTCGCCAAGCATAGGCGATGTCAGAAGGAAGAAAGCAGCCTCTGGGTAGTGTGTCTTGATCGTCTTGACGAAGTTGACCATGGCAGCGGTGTATTCTGCCGGAACGATCGGGTCGCGGACGCCGGCTTGATAGCCAAAGTCGTTGGTACCAAGATTGATGACTACAGCATCTGGTGTGGCGTTTGCGGGAAACGTGTAGCTGTTCAGCGGATCGAGAGCGCCGTATCTGGTCCAGCGTTGAGGCATGATGTCGCTTGGATCGGGGGTGGGAGAGACGTAGTTTCTCGTTAGACCGATGCCGCTCCAGGCTATGATGTCGTAGTCGGCATCTAATGCGTCGGCAGCCAGGGCGGCGTAGGTCTTGGGGTTGTTCTCCACAGCGGCGCTGTTCACGCATGGGTTGACGCCGTCGAGACCGTAGCCCACGGTGATGGAATCCCCAATGACTTGGATCTTGCGCGAGGCGTAGATGTCTGGACCGAAGGTGCCGTCCGTTGTTACGTTGCCAATGGTTATGGTGCCATATGAAGCTTCTGATCGTTTCCGCAGTTCCACCGTGTGTTTGCCGTTACGGAGGTCAGCGGGTGTTTTGATGGAAGTGCCATTAACATCAGGAATGACAGTCGCTACGCCATCGATGGTCAATTGAGCACTGTTGGTGCCGCTTGTGCCTTCGATGCCGATGCTAGCGGAGGAACCTGTAAAGGTAAAGGATACGCCGGTTCCGGGCCATGTCAACTCTTGCGTGTCTGGATTCACACGTCCGAGAAATCGAACAGCCTTGACATTGTCGATGGCTGCTAGTAGTACGAGAGGGGATACGGAAAGCTTCATGATGAGATATGATGGTTTGAAAGATGCGCAGCGCGTCGTGGCACTGAGACTTCGCACACATTTATACTGTGCAACATTGTAATTAGTATCGAGGCTAACACGGAAGACCGTTACTAATCTCGTAGAATAGTAAACAAGTTCCGGAGTGACCTGAATCGTGGCCTCCGATTATATTGATTGCAGGACAAGAAAACCGGGTAGCCTTTGGAGAATTCCGCGATCTTTCTACGGCCACGTTACTACTGCATGCTTTGTAGACATCATTGGCCAAGTCTTTACTTTGCGATATTGCGCATGACACTAGAAGATCGTAGTAGTTGTAAATTTAGAGAAGATGCGGGGGTAGAGCGGTGGGTTTGTGGCAAGATGACCGTTGCGATGACGATCGCGGACCTGGAAATTGATGTGCTAAACCTGACTAGGAATAGCGCGGAAGACATAAATTCCACGAACGAAGGCTGTTCCGTCCTTTAGTCCGAGGATACAGCTAATTAACGATGAACAACGCCTTCTAGCACATAATGTAAAGGAATCCGTTGTAAGATATGAGAATGAAGCTCGGAATCTCGATCGCACGCTGGAGTATGCCTTCTTTGTGCATCGGCTTCAGACGGAGCATCGGCATCACTGTGACATGGGAAGCAAGATTGACAAGAGAGCATAGTATTCTCTAAGATAAGAGCTACACCAACGAATTCCGCTCCCAACGTTCTCAAGGTGACGTTTCCATCCAGGATGCCATCGACCTGGAATCGCGACGATCAGCATCCAGCCTATGAACCCCACGGATCGTTTACTCCTCGCGCAGTCGCCCCTGCCACTAACGGTATGTACGCATCGGACAAGACGATGCGCGGGCGTTGACACGGTCTTTCAGTTCCTGAATCTCGGTGTGTTGTAGATTCCAAGGACATGAGACAGGTAACCGAGCTTGACCTGTGCGACGCCGTAGGCATAACGATAGGATATGGATGAATGCGAAATGATAGGGAGTAGACCCCACAGATCTGAAACTGAATGGAGTAGAGGCATGGCTAGAACGAGGATATCGATAACAGTCGCTGAATGCCGATAAAGAATGGAGTTGTTGAGAATGAAGGTAAAGATGCGAACCTACTCGGTAGTGAAGAATTTGGAGAGCACAGTGTGCGGCCCGAGGTATAAAGATGGAATATCGATATACGAAAGGCGATAAGAATGATGTGGTAGCTGGAATTGGCACGCGTAGCTGACGCCCTCCGTGATGAGAAGCTGCTCCAGATGAAAGCGATGGCTTTAGCGCGCCTTTTGTCTCCATGGCGAATGCGCATGTGTTTAGAGGTTGCGTGTTATTGCGAGCAGGCTCTAAGTGTCACTACGGTGACAAATCGGCTCGTTGGTCCTGGGACTGTGGAAAGGCAATAGTCTCGCGTCTGTGTTGTGCTCCCTATCAACTGTTAGCATGATAGTTAAGCATGGATCTTCGCGCACTTACCTCGCCTTCCTGGCCAACGCCAAGTTCCTTGGTTACGAAAGCGACGTCGGTGAATGGGGGAAGGCGACGAAAATGATAGTCGAGAACTGCGTTTTGGCGATCTGCTGTAGCCAGGATGCGTTGAATGATGACAAGAATAACGATAATAGAAACGAAATCGTCGAAAGAATGTGAAAGGATAGCGGAATAATGCTGAAGCCAGATTAGTCAAGCACGGAGAGATGCTAGGTACAACGCGTACTCTCTCTAGATGAGGAAGCGCGGCTGGAAGGGAAACTTACAATGAAAACTTGTCATCCGAGGTTCGATGAGGAGTGTCCACTGGCTGCAGTATTGGTGATGGTGTTGAGTTGGTGCGAGATGGTATTGGAGTCGAGCGCTTCAAACGACGGAGATGTTTGTATTTATGAAGATGGCGATGATAGGAATATGATAGCGATGAAGGCAAAGCGCCAGTCGTAGACCGATGGTCGGAGCCAGAGGATAGGATGAAGGTGACGGCTTCGAGTGCATGCACATCGTTTTCTTCGTCCCTGTTGGAGTTCTGACGGGTAATCTTGAACTCTTGTTAGCATGACATCGGGTGGCTTAGCAAGAAAGACCAACAATGTAAGCGTTTGCGAGGTTGTAGTAATGGAGGTATCGATATGTCGTAAGAATGTTGTTGAATGACGGCGATGATGATAGGAAGGAATAGTTGATGATGAGAACGAGGATCGTCCTGGGAGAAGGATGTCAAGAATATGGCAATACGGTGGCACGACGCTAGAATAACGAAGTTAGTTCTGGATAATGAGATACCTAGCTATCGAATGAGACGTACCTCGAGTGTCGCGGATGGGACAAGGCGTATCAGCGCAGCGACAGCGCCTGTTGCTTTGCCTGTTGCGCTGCCTGTCGTTGCGCCATCTGCTGCTCGCGCACCTTCTGCATCTCCAGCTGTTTACGTTGCACGAGCGCGTTCCTAACGATCTCGGTCTGCTGACATCGACACTGTAACGTCTGAGGTGAAACGGTTGATGAGAAAGATGTCGATGGCAGTTGAGGATACATGTGTCGAAGAATGAGGATGAATAAGGTAGAGATGCCGTCGGGTGAATGTTGTGGTGGTTGTTGGATAATTCAATGTATGTGTAACGGTGCCGTAATAATACTAAGAAACAGTCAGTAAGACGTAGCGAGTCTCTAGAGTAAGAGACATACAGTGGTAACGATGTTGCCGAAAATGCACTGGAAGAATCCGACATCCTCGATAGTGGTGTCGTGATGATCGATGCCATGTCGGTCCTCAAGTATCTGACTTCCTCTAGGGCAGTGTTGCCAATGGAGGGATGAACAAGGTAGAGATGTCGTAAGAATACTAAGAAACAGTTAGCATAGCACAGAGAAGTTGTAGCGTCGGATGCATACCGTTGTAGCGATATATCCGATAAGAGCGATGTTGCATTGTGGATACATGACCCCCTCGAGGGTAGTGTTACCGATCATGGATTGGTCTCTCAGTTGCGTCAAACCGTGGTGTTCTTGTAGAAGCCTTCGATCGTGGCAGAACAAGAGCCGGCGGGAGAACGATGGCGATGTGGATAGACTGGATAAGAATGTGCGAGATATGGCGGTATGAATGTTGTAATGATACCAAGGAACAGTCCACTAACGTTTCGGCAAAACCACGAATCGGCTCGTTTGTCCTCGGATTGTGGAGTGATCGCAGAATCATGTGTCGGTTGGCTTGAGCACTATAGGCTGTCGCGCGGGTTAGTATGACATGGAGAAGTTCTGGCATCAGATACATACTGTCATATCGATGTTGCCAAGGAAGGACTGGTACGAGACCAATGCGCTTGTCCGACTGGGAAGAGGCACAATGATTGCACTTGACCTTGGCGTAGCAGCGCTTGCCTTGGTAGTTCTTCTTGGTATGGCTATATTTGCCGCAACGAAGACAGAAGAGGTCGCTGCTCCAGCCCCAGTCTTGCGCCTGGCTAAGCAGCTCGAGGCAGAGCCCGCTTTGTACTTGCTGTACTTTTCCTGGGCATGGCTGTACTTCTGGGGCTTGTTGAATACGCTGAGGCTGTGCTGTGCGTGTTCTCGTCCGTAGCGATGAAGTGATGACGACGTGATGAAGATGTGGTGACGATATCGATAGACTGTTGAGATAACGATGGTGGTATGAATGAGAGTTGGAAGCAATATATGATGATAGAAGTGAAGATGATTGAGAACGAAGAAGAATGGCTCCTATCCCAGAAGAGTGGTGTGGAAGAGATGTGATGGATGAAGGATGGAGGAAGAATGGGAGCCGGTAGATAAACAAACAAAGAACATATCGGGGTATGTGAGGAGCGAACTTGTAGCGTGCCTGACATGTGCTACAAAGAAACATGTATGCACAAGAAGTAGCATATGGTCCTCGATCGTCAGTAACGACTGTATATGCTGCTTCGATGCGCAGGAACCACGGGGCACTAAGCATCCACCAGCATACGCACGAAAGGGTTCAGCATGCCAAAAGTCTAGATGTGAGTCGTAACATCATCAATTGAACCTGAACGAAAGCACCAGTCTCTCTCTCAATCCTTTCCAAGCCCCTCCTAAACGTCCGGAACTCTCAATCCCCATCTCCCCAGTGCACATTCCTACAACACCTTGAAGCAAACATAGCTCAAGAACTTATCATTCAAATCGCCCTTATCCGTACTCCTCAGATCTGCATTACCGGGCCAGCTCAAGCTGAGGAAATCCGATTCAACGCCAGGAGTCTTGTGGCAGGAGTTATTGCTGTTGACAAACATGTTAGCTAGAGTTGCGAAGAGATAAGGTATCGGAACATACGTGAAGAACTCGCACAAGAACCCTGGATCAGGTCCAATCGATGATTCCCTACCAGACAGTTGCGCGCAGTCGATATCTGAACCGCCTGGTTTGGTGAAGTGGTGCGAACATGCGCCGTTCCAGTTGATGTCGTCGCAGACGTAGACGCCGGCCAGATCTTCAGGTACGGGAGACACGGAAGCTGATGGCGCTTCTGGCAACGGCGTGGACAAGGTCGCTGTTACGGTGACCATGGTGGTCGTCATGACGATGTCTGATGCTCTAGGAGCAGGAGTCGGAGCCGGGGCGGGCGCAGCGGAAGAGCTCTCGGCGTCGCCTCCAGCGCCTAATAAGTCTCCTAGGCCGCCCAGAGGACCGCCTCCGCCCAGAACATCGCCTCCACCTAGAACATCGCCGAGGGGGAGGCCTTGCCGCTTTGCAGCTGGATGTGCAGACTCTGGGACGTATTCTGAGGGGATGAAAGGATGACCTGGGCTCGGGGGAAGACTTGCAGCAAGAGTGGTGCTGGTTATGAAAAGGGTGGTGAGGATGGATGTATACATGATGATCGATTTGCTACTGTCGAAGTAGAAAGATTTGATAGGACTGGAATGTGAATAGGCCGCACGTTGTCTACAGAAACTATAGAGATTTCCGGTCTACTTGTACTTCTCGTGAGTTGTACGTCTCGTGGAGGTGAGAGCATCTTTCTTCCCAAAGCAATATGAGACGGCAATTTCTTTTTCTGTGTATCAACTGTCACGACACTTGCTCTCTACCGGCTCCGTGAGACTCGGCGGGTAGAGTTGTGTAACAAAATGCCCGGTTGCACTGATCACCTGCAGTACGCGACCAGGCTGCACGTAGGCTGCGTGCAACCCTTCGAGGACTTCTGCGGAAACGTAGTCTTCAAAAGTGCGGGTGGTGACTGGGAGGCGGTCGATTATGTGCGCATGAGAGATGCATGTCGACTGAAACGCAACGGCAGTGCTGAATCAAGTCGAGTACAGTTGAGCACTTGAGTGCGCATTGTTGATGGGATGCCGTTTCTGGCACTGGCCCGCTGCGTCGCGGCAACGTCTTTCGCAAGGTGCAACAGCCGGCGGATGGAACGGTGGACTCGTAAACAGTCGACTTACTCTATTCTGATAGTAGACAATAATTGGGTACAAGAATACTGACAAGTCCCTCCCGAGTGGTGGTATCATATGCGCTCCATTAACGCGACCAAACAAAGTGCTGTAACGCTATCAAGACGCCGCCGCAATGTCCCATGCCCAAAACGCCGAGAACTTGTAGGTACTCGGTGGAGTAGGAGAGGCACCTGCTGCCACGGGTATATGAACGACGACGGGTAATCAAAGCGATCTCAGATATCCCTGAGAGCGAGAGTACTACGCCCCTGACCTCTCGGGTGCTTCTGGTCGGTCCGGCTCGTAGTTTGTCTCGCCCAGTGACTCGGTAGGTCCAGAGACAGAAGGCGCTGACGGAGCAGCGGCACTTGGACCCCGAGACGCTGCTGCGTTCAGGCGCTGGTTCAGAGCCTCTAGAGCGAGAGCACGTCTCCTCTCCGCCTCAGCACGTGTGGCTCCTCCTCGACCGCCCTTGCTGTTGGGGTTCATGATGCTGGGTAAACCCCCTTCAGCCCGGGCGCTTGCCTGTTCGTTGCCCGCATCGATGTCCTGATCCGAGAAGGGTATGCACACTTTGAGCGATACGAGTGTGTTGTAGATGCCGTCGGAGAGGGCGCCAACGGGGGTTTGTATGGGCTCCGGGAAGAAGTGGGCAAACGAGAAGGTATCTGAGGCGTCGCCGCGAATGACAGAGCCGTCGCCAGTTGCGGTAGACGATAGTGATGGGCTTATGCGGTAGAAGCGGAGGTAGATCCAGGCAGTGAAGAAGCCGAAATACGCCAGGAACATGGCCGTCTCGGTACCCAGTATTATGCCGGAAATGGTGTTGGTGAGGAGGAAGATGGCAGGGAAGTGCTTGACGCGCATGCGGATGAGGCCCTTTGCGATGGCAACGGTGTGTTCGGGGACGAGCTGCTTGAAGGAGACGAGAAAGCCGGCTTGGATGGCGATGCCGCCAGAGATGGTCGTGCGCCTATGCTTGGTCAGTACAGTGCATGGAACGAAGGCCGAGTACGCACATCAGAGAGGTCTTGCCCATGACCAGGTAGCCGACGATGTAGAGCAGATAGGCGAGCATGTTGGGGATCATGGCCACGAAGAGCATGAACTTGGTGAACTCGTGAGACCCCCACGCTCTTTCCAGGTAGCGTCCGCCATAGAAGACGGTGAGTCCGGTGGTGATGAGGCCGAGGAGGTTCTGCTCCACCACCGTCGCCAGCGCGAAGACCCAAGGATACCACGGCACCGAGTAGCGGGGGACGATGGTAAGCCACGGGACGCCGTTTCCCACGCCGATGATTGGCTTCTCGATCTTTTCTACCAGGTTGGCGTTGGGTCGCAGTGCGAAATTTACCAGCGTAAAGAATACGACGGCCGCCAGCACGCCGCGAGTGAGCGGGGGCAGGTTGATGCGCGCCATGGTGGGGAGAATGCGGCGTCTGGAGGCGGGAGGTGAGGCAGTCGGGCGTCCTTCACGTATCGACCCGGGCAGGTCCAGACGGGCGGTGGAGGTGTCTTTGGTGAATTGAGCATGCAGGCGTGGGAGCGTCTGCATGTGTCGACGGCAGGGATCATGAACGACGCTCGGACGGAGATCCTGTGGGGACTAGCGGCCGCCAGAGTGCTGAGTAGTTGCAGGTAGCCTTCGATCCTCCTACCAGCTCGACGACGACCACCACCACGAATCGCGCACCCAGCACGCCCCGCCTATCCCCGACCCTACGCACTCTGCTCCCCGGCGCATGCAGCGCGTACAGGATGCGCCATGGCGGAGACTCTCAGCAGCAACGCGATGAACTATCTCGGTACACGTCCCCAGCCCACGCCTCTGTTGGCCTGCATGACTGACGTCTAGGTGCAGTATGGCGATATCTTCAGGAGGCCGGATTCGGTAATGCCGCCCTGCAACTCTCGCGATGCTGGATCCGCGACCCCGACACGCTGCCCTTTGCGAAGAACATCGAGCAGCACGCTCTCATCAGGCTCGTGCAGGACGGGCTGTGCTTCGACCAGCTGCAGGCCGAGGCTTGCAATGTACGTCGCATACACGCGCGCGGGAAGCTGGTACTGACGAGCGCAGACGGAGCCGCGCTACAAGTTCGGCAGCGACCACGGACGACCCTATTCGGCGCGCAATGGCAACCTCTTGACCCTCGACAAGGGCATTCCCGCACACGAACTCGCCGCCGAGGCCAACGGCGCTGTCCAAGAACCCCCGCCCAAGAAGACGCTCAAGCGCAAGAAGACGAAGCCCACGAATGGCGTCGAGCCGCGCCCCGAGCCCCAGGTCAACGGCGATGCCATGGACATCGAGCACAACGGCACCACCCATGTGACCAACAGCGTGCGAGCCGAGTCGGAGCCCATGGTCTCGGAAGCCGAGTCGCCCTCGCTTGCTGATATCCCCATATCCACGCTCAGCATCGGCCAGGACGCTGAGATCCAGACCGAGGCCATCGCTGTGGCTGATCTCACTCCCGGCATCGTCTCCATCCCTCCCCCTTCAGACCCTGCCTGTCTTATCGAGCACACACTATGGGGGCCCATAGACTCCCCTGTACTGCTCGCAGCCGGCAAATCCCTCCTCCAAGTTCACGTTGTGAGCAAAGACCCTGGCCATGAACCCCCCACCCAGCATTTCGACATACCCTTACCCGTCGACAACTTCGACGTCACCGCGCTATGCTGGCATTCCGACAACGAACTCACCGTCTCTGTGCGCGAACAGCGATCCAACGAAGTCGGCGAGAAGATGATGATGGACAAGCTCATCAAGCTGACCGAAGGCGGCCAGGCCTCGCAGGTCATCTCCTCCACTGCCGGCCTCATCAACACGCTTCGCTGGAACCCCGAACGAAACCTGCTGCTCTCGATATCAACAGACGGCGAAAAGGGCTCCATCAAGGTGTGGAAGAACGATAGCGACTCTATACCCGCATGGACCGAATTCACCGACACGGCCATATTCGACGCCCACTGGATAAGCGACTCTGCTTTTGTCGTTTGTGGTATTAAGCTCTTCAAGATCTACCAAGTCAACGATTCCCTGACTACCCAGCAAACCCTCGACACTTCAGTAACATGGGAAACAGTCAAGTATGACGCTGCGTCTAGGATCATCGCCGTGCTGGGTATCGAAGACAGGAAGTACTATCTTGGCATCCTCCACCCCAACGACTCGATACAACTACAGGTCCACGAATATCCTGATGAGTACCCCACCGATCTCAGCTTCCGCGTAAAATCAAAGACCAGCCACCTTACGAACGGTTCTTCGCTGCCCTCTGTTCTGCTTGCAACGAGCTCCATGGCTGGTGCAACGCGCATCTGGGACGCAAACGAACCTTTCAAATGCGTCAAATATCTACCTACCACGGATGGTACGCAGGCCTTTAAGATTGCTTTCTCTCCAGACGGGTCGCTCTTAGCTGCTGCAGGCCCCGATGCCGTCACTGTTTGGGATGTAGAAAAGAGAGATGTACCAATTGCCTCGTGGCGCGCCAGTGAAACTCCCAGCGACAAATGGAACCCGGCCATAGACGGAGAGTACAGTCTTGGTTGGGAGCCAGATAGTTCTAGGTTATCTATCGCTCTTGGAAATCAGGTATGCAAAATGCGAAGAGAAGATTTCCAATTGCTTACACTACTACAGATTGCTATCGTCACGGTTCCGAGGTAGTACCGGGGATCGTCTATGGAACAAACTCAATTGCAGCTCTGCGGTACAACTATCGCGCCGCTCATCGCAGGGGTTTCTCAGCTGTATTGCACAGGACGGATAGAAAACTATCCAGAGCCGAACGCGCAAGTCTTCACGGGGACATTCCGCGAAGTCACTAAGAGCGCGTTGCGGGATGCAGCGGGACGCATGTGGAGGTCCGGGGTGGCGCCTCGGCCGACACAGATGCGGAGGCTGTCGCGCTCTGATAGGCTAAGCCTAGCGGTGGAACCCCAGGCCGTCTGCTGAATCCGACTGGTAACTCGACGTCTCGCTAACGCTCCGCCTACTGCTTCGGCACTTGTATCATACGGCCAACCCTGACGATGGTGAGGGGTGTAGGTGGCCGTACTTATAACGGTTCTCTGTCGCCATTTTGCGGCCAACATCATCTGGATCGTTTCTGTCATACTCTATACTACCACCTACGCTGGCCAGTCTAGCCTCTGAATAAACCATTTAATTTGGATACACGTCGCGCAATTACTCCTATTGTGTAACTCGTTCTTTCTTGACGATGTCGGCAGTACCTAACCTTCCTATCGACGCGCCTGGCATTTCCATTAACGAGGATGCCAATGGGCTTTCAGCGAAGCCGCCTTTCAAGCTCAACGATGCGCCTGTGGAAAACTTGCGACGTCTGAGAGTTGTTGTTATCGGTGCTGGATACTCGGGCATCTATTGCGGCATTCGCATTCCAGAGAGATTGAGAAATGTCGATCTTGTCATCTATGAGAAGAATGGCGGCGTTGGAGGGACTTGGTACGAGAACAGGTAAGCATTTCTTCTGTGACTAACCAAGGTCTTCTTACTGTTTCGCAGTGCATTCACTGACTTGATCGCAGATATCCCGGTTGCGCATGCGACATACCATGTAAGCAAGCTTGAACTTACGAGTACAACCACGGCTAATAATCTACAGCTCACTCATACCAGTATACGTTCCAACCGAACCCGAACTGGTCGTCGCTCTATGCCCCGTCTGCGGAGATTCAATCTTACCTCCAAGACGTAGCGCACAAGTACTCCGCGGATCGCTTCATCAAGCTACGCCATGAGATTCAGGCATGCCACTGGGATGGCAAGACTGCGAAGTGGAACATCACAGTGAAGAATCTCGACACAGGAGATGTGCTACAGGACAAGGCCGACGTACTTGTTTCAGGGAGGGGTGGTTTGAACACACCATCTTGGCCTGAGATAAAGGGCTTTGAGACGTTCAAAGGCGAGGTCATGCATTCGGCAGTCTGGAATCAAGCCTACGACTTCAACAACAAGCGAGTAGGCGTCATCGGTTCTGGTTCCTCCTCCATCCAGATTGTCCCGTCGCTGCAGCGTCTACCAGGTACTCATATTAGTACCTTTGTGCGTAGTAAGACGTGGATCTCGCCTCCCTTCGGCCAACAGCTATGGGACAAGTACGGTTTCAATGGTTCGACGATTCCCCCAGAGCTTCGCGATCGTTTCGCGAACGATCCAGAATATTACCACAAGTTCAGGCTTTCAGTCGAGGAAGATGGAAACAGCATCCATGCTGTTACCATGAAAGGGACTGAGTTACAAAAGGGCGCAAAGGATATGTTCCATCAGCACATGAAAGAGAGGCTGAAGAGCAAGCCTGAGATCTTCGAAGCACTCTTACCCTCCTTCTCCCCAGGGTGCCGTCGGTTGACGCCTGGTCCAGGCTATCTCGAAGCCTTGACGCAACCCAATGTCGACTTCGTCACATCGCCCATAACACACATCTCCGAATCCGCAATCCACACAGCCGACGGAAAAACGCACGAAATCGACGTTCTCGTGTGTGCCACAGGCTTCAAAGCCTCAGCCCCACCTCCGTTCCCCCTAACCGGCAGCAACGGCCTGCCACTTGCTAAAAGGTGGGAGGACCGCGCCGTAAACTACCTCTCACACTCCGTATCTGGCTTCCCCAATCTCTTCACCATGCTCGGTCCCAACGCCGCAATCGGCTCCGGCAGCCTGACGTGCATGATCGAGACCCTAGGCGACTACATCATCAAAGCAATCCGCAAGATCCAAAAAGAAAACATCGCAGCCATGGTTGTCAAGGAAGCGCGCGAGAAGGACTTCATCGAATACGTCGACGCCTACTTCCAGGGCACTGTCTTCGCCGACGAATGCCGAAGTTGGTACAAGAACAAGGGGACGGGCGAGGTCGTTGGGCTCTGGCCAGGAAGTACGTTGCATTGTGTTGAGACGATGAGGAGTCCGAGGTGGGAAGACTTCGACTATATTTATTTGGATGAGCTCGAGGGACAGAGTGACGGTACAGAGCTACATGGTGTGGGGAAGACGAGCAACAGGTTGGCTTGGTTGGGCAATGGGTGGACTAGTGCGCAGACGGAGGGCAAACACTTGGCGTGGTATTTGTACCCCGAATTTATGGAGAAGCCTGTTTCGCCACTGCCGGAGGAGAAGGAGACGTATGCTATTAGGCCGTTTTCTTATTGAGGGAAGGTGGAGAGCAATGGCGGTTACTTGACAACGTCAAGCCAGTCGACACTTGCAAATTTGATCAACATTGAAGCTGATCTTTTCTATGAACAACGATTACGGCAGGCCGTCCCGCAATGCACATGAACCGCCATATTCTTGGCATACATATCGCTCACTCTGACGGACGAGGCTAGCTACTCACTAAGTTCAATCTTTTGCGCAGCATTCCTGTTCAAGGGCGCAGTAAAATACAAGATCGTCTTCTCTCCCGTTCATTCAGACTATTTATACACTCCACCCTTACAACGGACCCAGTTTCTCAGCATAGCTCTTGAGGTTCGCACAAGGCTGAGAACGCCTCGTGCTTTGCCAAGAACATGTGGCTGGAGGAGAAGATGCACGGTGCGAGTATCATTGGGTAAAGTACAGATCTTGACGTCGAGAGGATCGTCTGCGGCATGTCCGCTGCATCTGTTGAGGGGGCCGATGCTCGTTACCAGGCTGTGGGAGAAGACGGAGAAGATGTATTTTAGCTACCGAAGGTGCTCAGTAAATCCGGCCTTTCTTGTATCTTCCCGATCTCTATTTACCGTCTGCTAAGTAGGGGACGACTCATTATCGTGCTGCCCATAATGCCTTCATACGTCTGGCTCGCATGCCTTCTCACAATCATCACACACACCACCGCACAATCAGACAGCGACAGATGCGAAGGCAACACCACCACCTACCACGACTTCAACCTCACCGTGCCCTTCCAAAACCTCTGCGGGAAAGACATTGGCGCCAAAGTCGACTTCCTCGATCCCACCTTCGAAGAAACTTGGTCCGATTGCATGGGTCGCTGCGTCAAGAAAGAGCCGCTGTGCTACGGCTTCGATTTTCGACCTCTCGGCGCGACAGAATTCGAAAATTGTTGGCTCATGAACGCTACGTTTGATGCGGCGACGGCTGTGTATCCCGGGTTTGCGATTGATGCGGCGATGTTGGCACCGGATTTGGTAGAGGGGTTGGATAAAGATTGTGAGACACTGGGCCTTCGAGGGTGCTTCCTGAAGAACGGGAGATTGGAGAAGGTGACGGGTATGTTTCCATAATCCCCATGAGCAACAAAGCAATCGCTAACAATCGACATGGATAGCTTCCTCGACTTCCCCAACCTCGACGCCGTCAAATACCTCAACCAACACAGACGCAGCTTCCACCAACTCAAAGAGTCTTTCCAACGGCGCAAAGGGAGGAATCGCAGCCGGCATCGTGGCTTTGGCGGTGTTAGTAGCCCTGATCATCGCCTTTGTATGTATCAGGCGACGCAAACAAAGAGCGCGGGGTTATAGCTCCGATGAAAGCGCAGCTGAAGTCTCAGCTCACCATCAGATTGTGGAGATGCTGGCCCACAAAGGATCGTACAGCACAGCAGAACTTCCATGCCAAGAAACCGCACAAGAACTTGAAGGTACCGAAGGTGCCAAAGTATCCATACCGACAAGCGAACTCGAGGGAAGTTCACCAAAGAAACCAGAAACAAGGTTTGAAGAAGTGGTGGTGGTGGACGCTAGAACACATAGACCCTGCCCATGCCCGCCGGCAACCTGGATTTGAGAAATGGCATGTGCAAACCTCCCGAGGTCCCTCTTTCCCGATTTAACCACCACGTGCGTGACCTCTTCCCATACTCAAACACCACCAACAAGTGAGACACCCGCAATCTAAAACCCAACTTACCCTGCACAACGCGGACAACCCTTACCTAGGCTGTGCAAACAAGAACAAGGCTGCGCACAGCCGCCCTTATCCACACATGCATCCCCAGGCCCCCAAACAACAAAACAGCCGCCGCCCTAGCGCAACAAATGGATCGCCGTATCCGCGCACTCATACTGGGACTGGTTTGCTTACTCGTACCCTTGCGCCCCACGTTACGCCGTCCCAATAGTGGGAAGCTGCACAATCATGACAAGGCGTCTGGCTTGATTGCCCGTACGACGGTAAGCAACAAAGCGTGTGTCTGGGAGTTGGAAGGATTTTCGGGGTTTGGGCCGCTGCAGTGCGTGAGGCGGAGTGCGGCGTGCCTTGTAGGATGCTGCGGCTGAGCTGGAAGCCTGATCGGCTTATACGATGGGGTTGTCTTTGTTCATAGGTGGCCCTTGAGGCTGGAGAGATTTGTTTCGATTTCCTGATCTTTTTCTCTCTTTTTCGCCTTTTGCCCGTTGGATTCGTGGTTGAAGTGCAGCTTTGGGTTTGGCTCGATATACCTGGTTACTGTAAAGATGCTACCTTTTATCCGGAGTTTCACGACCACCGCATTTGACGACGATTTACCGCGATGTATTCCCTGGCGTCAAGGATGTGAGGAATCCGGCGCAAGTACCTCGGAGACGGACGGGACAAGTACCGCACAAACGGATGGAAGTGGTTTCGCTCTGACAAGGACGCCGGGTGGATGGGGGATTTCTCCATCCGATGGCATTTCGGACATACAGCCATCACCTACCTTTGATGGCTTTGGCTCTAGCATCACACAACTTGCCGAACCTAGCACCCAGCCCACCTTCACGAGCTTAGGATTGCAAACGCCCTCAATCATAAGAACGTCAATATCAACGTCGCAAAGCCAGACTGTCTCACCCAGCCAACTAACATCTGTAACAACGGAAGATCCAAGTCAGGCAACGGTCGCAACCCTGGCAGGAGTAACAGACGGCGATGAGACGAAAGGACTGAGCGCTGGTGCAGTAACAGGTATTGCCATCGGAACATTCATCATTGGCGCAGCAATCGCATTCGCCGCCGCATTCTTCCTCTTTAGGCAGCGGAATAAACACAAGAATGCAAACGTCAGTAGCAAGGATTACCCAAGCTATGGCGACTCCGCGCCCGATCTGGGAATGATGCAACATAAAGGTGTCGGCAGTCTAGGAGGGCGGCATAGCCCATATGTACAGGTATCGCAAACACCTACACCAGCGACGCCCACTACTGCATTATCTCCTCCGATGATAACGCCCGCTGTCGTGGCAAACGAATCGTCAAAGGATGTTACCTCGTTCTTACCACCTGCAGTAGACGACGATGAAGTGTGGAACGGCGTGTCGCACTTGTTTAGCATGATGCATGAGCATATCGAGAAGTTCTACCGCGACGTACATGCCTGTATCACTCCGAGTATGGAACCTTCAATCGCCAAGTTCGGCATCAAAGACGTGGATATGGCGGAACTCCTGCAAGAATGCTCAAGTCCAACTGCGGCACTCAAGCATGCGCTCGTAGCATACGTACTGGGTATAACAGGGCCAAAGCAAAAAGGGGACAAGGAAAGGACCTTGTTCCCAGAAGAGCTGGCGCATGTCGCGAACGGCGCCGACGTTGGATCAGGTAAACCTCCATCCCTACCCCTCGATCCACGGAAGGCATTAAGCTCACACCCCATCCTAGATCCCGACTTCATAGCCGCCACCTCCCTCCACCGCCGCGTCTCCGTCTACCTCTACAGCACCATAACCGGGTACCCGAACCGGCGCAAATCCTGGATGGCACAGTCTGAAACACGCGAAGCAGCCGAACACTTCTCGCTTACCTTCTTCCCTTGGGCGAATCCTACGTCTAGCGATCAGGATCGAGATGAGGATCTTGCACGCATTATTACGGATACGCTGACGGTGAGGATATGGTTGTTTGGACAATTGGATACGTATGAGTTTGAGTGGGAAGGGGTGGGGGAGAGGGGTATTGTGATTAATCCCGAGTTGGTGAAGAGGAAATGGAGGAGTGATAGTAGAGATGGGGGTGGGGATGGAGATGTGGTGGTACATGTAGTGGATGGGACTGTTGTTGCTATGTAGACTGGATGAAGACATCCCGGTCTTTTCGCCATTGAGCTGCGAAGATTGTTTGACGCGAGACATGGCTACTACGGCTTCTGTTCTGGCCAGAGTTGTAACCAATCTCCGGGCTTGCAGGCCGTTTCTCAATCCCAAAGCGAACTTATTGTGTTGGCTCATTTGAGGCGGCACAGTGATCGGGCCCTGGAGATATGGATTTAGCTATTGCTCTCCTGCGGGGCCCCGCAATGATAATGCTCCAACTAATACTTCTCTGTAAGTCGTTATTGGTCAGCGTCTGCTTCAGCGTGCCCAGACCTGCCAACATCAGCCAATACGGCATGCCGGTAGCTATGACGACGGCTGTTTGAATGCCAAGATGTGTATGGATGGTCGCATCGCGATCACTGTGTTGATCGCATATTGGGCGCTACCGTGGACTGTAATACACATCCGAGCATGTGCACGAAGACACGCGCGCAAAGGCGCTCTCTCACAGGGCGTTCGCATGGGCTGTCAACCGAGACGGAACATATTACCCTCTCGCACGGTGAAAGCTTAGCGCGAACTGCACACAAAACACACCCACAACAGCTAGCTATTGTAAGTAATTCAGCACGCCATGCAAAAGTGTCCACTGTAAAGAACAGCTAGCACAGACAAGCGGGAACAGATATGGCGACCAGCCCAACGGTAACAATTGCCGGTGCCTCGGATGGGTCCTGCGTCCCTCTTCCCCACGCCCGAAAGCTGACGCTTGCAGGCATCGCGTGGTCAGGCCCATTGCAAGGTTCTTTGCAAAGGAACATGCGATCAGCTCCACAACCTGCCAGATGTGTAGAACTTGTGCTCTTGACAGTCTGGTCACAACGGGGTGCTTGGGGCTTGTGTGGTGTCATACCAAGAGCTTTGTAGGAGGGTTCGGCACCTTTGTAGCCGACCTCGGGAGCTTGTAGCTTACGGGAGAGCTCCTGCTCTTCGACACTGCCCAGGTGATGACAGTTTTGCAAGTCATTATAGGCCGACTGCGCCGCCTGAATTCGGGCTATTGCGTACGGCCGGGAGATATTGTGCGGTCGCGAAGTTGCGGGCCGGCTGCCTGCCGAAGCTGTTTTCCTCAGGGTCGAGCATGGATATCTAGGTACATGGTGATGGTGAATAAGTGCCCGCCCTGATGAGCCAACATGTCGCTGCGCGCATTTACGGCATGTGAAGCAGGGCAAATTGAATGTCGCCAATTATTGGCAGTCAAGCAGATTGACGGCGGATCGGCACAGCAGTACAGTCTGACTGGCGTGGTGTGCTAGTGATCCGGAGAAACGGAGGGCATCACAGGATGCTATCCGTATTGGATCATGGTGCCGCCCACGGAATACGTGTGGGCCCAGACAGAAGCCAGCAATAAGCTGTTCGTCATATTCCAGTCCCCGCAGCGAAGGCACGCGAGGGGTAAGGCTACATCACCAACGCCGTGCTAGAGTCGCAGCTCATAAGAGTGCCGTTCGCCCATCTCGTGCTCTGCATTACAAACCTCCCCCTTCCAACCGCGTCGCCTCAATCTCGAACCTTGAACAGCCACGCGAAGCTCCACTTAAGCAGCTGTTTCCCGAACATTCACCAACTTCACTCCGGCCCCTGCGGCAATCAAGCGTACCGCCGACCCCTTTACCCGGAATTGAGACATATAACTGTTCTGGACAATCCGTCCGTATCTGACCTGCGATCCTGCCAGACTACGCTTCCACGCTGGTGAAGCTGCTGAACTGTCCCCGTCGCGAAATTGCAGCGCGCCGAAGCCGAGCTCCTTTGCCCCGCCAGCCAGGCTAAATAATCCACATCGACCAGCCCAGACATGTCTGAAGGAGACGTCAAGCCGCCCGTCGTGGCCGAAGCCCACCAGGTGGACACATTCCACGTTCCCAAGGCGTTTTACGAGTGAGTCTCTCTGTTTGTTTGGTCATTGCATCATGCACCAAGACAATGACAGCTGCGGCGTCATCCAAGCTCCAGAGCTCGCGGGTGGGCGGGGTGACCCCGCGCCGCCGAGCGTTTGGCCGACCACCAGATCGCGATCGCACCCAGACGAGCGCCCGGCACGCAGCTAACGCGCGCACAGCAAGCACCCGCACTCGAAACCGCATCTTGAGAACCTCGAAGAGTACCAGAAGCTGTACAAGGAGTCCATCACAGACCCGAAAGCTTTCTGGGGCCGACTCGCGCGCGAACTGCTCACGTGGGAGCGCGATTTCCAGACCGTGTCCTCGGGTAGCTTCGAACACGGCGATGTCGCGTGGTTCGCGGAAGGCAGACTGAATGCCAGCTACAACTGCGTCGACCGCCATGCCTTCAAGGACCCCAACAAGCCGGCCATCATCTACGAGGCCGACGACGCGGGCGATGGCCGCATCATCACATATGGAGAACTCCTCCGCCAGGTCTCGAAGCTGGCCTACACACTGAAGGAGATGGGCGTGAGGAAGGGTGACACCGTTGCTCTGTACCTGCCTATGATTCCAGAGGCCGTCATTTCCTTCTTGGCCTGCACACGTATCGGTGCCGTCCACTCGGTTGTCTTCGCGGGCTTTTCGTCTGACTCGCTACGCGACCGTATCATCGATGCCGAGTGCAAGGTCGTCATCACCACCGACGAGGGCAAGCGTGGCGGCAAGACCATCAGCACAAAGAAGATCGTCGACGATGCTCTCAAGCAATGTCCCGGCATCAGCCACTGCCTGGTCTACAAGCGCACCGGTGCCGAGGTTCCCTGGACCAAGGGTCGCGACTGGTGGTGGCACGAGGAGGTGGAGAAGTACCCCAACTACATTGCGCCAGAGTCGATGAACTCGGAAGACCCTCTGTTCTTGCTCTACACCTCAGGGTCCACCGGCAAGCCCAAGGGTGTCATGCACACAACCGCAGGCTACCTCCTCGGCGCAGCAGCAACCGGAAAGTACGTCTTCGACATCCACGACAACGACGTCTTCTTCTGCGGTGGTGATGTGGGCTGGATCACAGGTCACACCTACGTCGTATACGCCCCTCTACTGCTTGGTGTAGCTACCGTCGTCTTTGAAGGCACACCCGCCTACCCCAACTTCTCGCGCTACTGGGACATCGTCGACAAGTACAACGTCAGCCAGTTCTACGTCGCCCCCACTGCGCTACGGCTGCTCAAGCGTGCGGGTGACGAGCACGTCAAGCACAAGATGAAGAACCTCAGGATTCTAGGATCTGTTGGTGAGCCAATTGCTGCTGAGGTTTGGAAGTGGTACTTTGAGATTGTCGGAAAGGAGGAGGCACACGTTGTTGATGTGAGTTGCGGCTGAGTACGTTCATAGACATTATTGCTGACTGAGACAGACTTACTGGCAAACGGAGACTGGCTCGCACGTCATCTCGCCCATGGGTGGCATCACACCCACGAAGCCCGGATCCGCATCTTTGCCATTCTTCGGTATCGAGCCTGCGATCATCGACCCCGTGTCTGGCGAGGAGATTCACGGCAACGATGTCGAGGGTGTACTGGCCTTCAAGCAGCCGTGGCCCAGCATGGCCCGCACAGTTTGGGGAGCACACAAGCGATACATGGATACATACCTGAACGTATACAAGGGCTACTACGTAAGTTTGGGCAAGCTGATTACTTACATGAAAACTCTAATAATATCTGCAGTTCACTGGAGATGGTGCCGGACGTGACCACGAGGGCTATTACTGGATCCGCGGACGTGTTGATGATGTTGTCAACGTCTCGGGTCACAGGCTGTCTACCGCTGAGATTGAAGCTGCGCTTATTGAGCACCGTACGTTATGTCCGAAAGTCCGATATGCAAGTTGCTGACGGTTGCGCAGACCAAGTGGCTGAGGCCGCCGTGGTGGGTATCAATGACGAACTGACAGGCCAAGCCGTCAACGCTTTTGTAGCGCTGAAAGACGGCACAGAGTCAAGTGACCAGGTGAAGAAGGACTTGGTGATGCAAGTGCGCAAGTCGATTGGACCGTTTGCGGCACCGAAGGCCATTTTTGTGGTGCCAGATCTGCCAAAGACGCGATCCGGCAAGATCATGCGCCGTATCATGCGCAAGATCTTGGCGGGAGAAGAGGACCAGTTGGGCGACATTACAACAGTAAGTCTGAGTTTTGCCAATATTTTTCTCTTGTTGACGGCGATGACGCGTACTTGGTGGGATGATGTTTACTAACGCCCCCCGACAGCTTTCGGATCCGTCGGTAGTCGACAAGATCATCGATATTGTGCACCAGTCTAAGAAGAAATAAACGGCTCGACTTGGCTCGGGTGGGCGTGGTTGCCATGGGAGGGAAGCATACGAAGCTCTGCTAGTGTGGTGGGGAGGAACTCAGTCGCGCTTGGAGGGAACAAGCGCCGAGCAATGGCAGTCCTATAGTGAGACGCAGGCAGTATGCGCGCTGAGGCATGACCATGCTGTGTTTGTTTGGGCGGCCGCTGTGCGCGCCTCTATGTTTAGTACGGATATAGCACGAATATGCAGCCGCTAGGTTCACGTTGACTGGAATTTTTGTGCATCCGGCTGTTCCTGCGTGGAGCAACGCGACAACAAACGCGCGAATAGCGGCGCAACGGCGTATACAGATACGAAGCAGAGCAGTCTACCACGTAGAGGTGCAGGCAGGGTGGATAGTTTCATTCGTGTCGCGCCCAGACCCCCTCGCTGTCCGCTTGCCGGCCGCCAAGACGGTGGCTGGCCCTTCTGCACAGCCCCCCTGTAGACGATTACGACTCTCCATTATCGCTCGCCATCGTTCACCCAGCGTATAGCCTTTCGCCTCTACTAGCGTTTCTTCTGTATACACGTACTTTGCCTACCCATGTCTCTCGTTGCGTTGTCGTAGCTTTCGCTTTTCACCACCTCCCCCATCTTCTCCTGAGCGGAGAAGCACCGCCACACGAGATGCGCATCTTTGGGAGTCTCCGGGCCGCCATCACCATCGGCCTCGCCACCATAACAGCCGCCTCATCACACGCCCGCCCACCATTGCAG